AAGCAGTGGTATCAACGCAGAGTACTTGCATTTTTCGAGCACCTCTTGGAAAATCTGCTTGCTTACCTCTACAAGTTGAATTCACTAGAAAGCGTGCTATTGAACGGTGCATGCACCTGACTTCAATTTGTAGCTCTCGCCGAGTTACGGGCCTACGAAATCACGTCCTCATGAGTTTTGCCTGAAATGTAAAGATCGCCTGCTTCGTGGAACTTTCACCCAAGTGGTTGTAAGACACGCTGTTCGCGAATTTTATGTTCACTCGAAGGATCCTTAGGTGGAAATTCCACGAAACAGGCGATCTTTACATTTCAGGCAAAACTCATGAGGACGTGATTTCGTAGGCCCGTAACTCGGCGAGAGCTACAAATTGAAGTCAGGTGCATGCACCGTTCAATAGCACGCTTTCTAGTGAATTCAACTTGTAGAGGTAAGCAAGCAGATTTTCCAAGAGGTGCTCGAAATATGCAGGCGAATCTACGAGGTATCGCGGCTTGCTCAGACAACTGCATCGGAAAGTTCGCGGCCTCAAAGCGTGTTACATGGCGCGCCGCGGCCCTTAAAATTTCAGCCACACGCCGCGGCCCATGTATATCTTACCGGGAACGCCGCGGCCAAAGTTGAAATCGGGAAGAGATTACCGGGAAGGTCGCGGCCCAACCACCTCACTCGGCGAGCCGCGGGCCCTATCAAAGGCCGCACTTCTTACACGCCGTAGTTTAAGGCGCAACCCTCGTAAGGTACGTCGCAGCAGTGAGGCTACCCTAAGTGTTTATGAGGCTGGGTATCGCTTCTCGGATTTGGTCCTATCTGACAGAGTTGAGTTTTTGTATTGATGAAATAAACCTCAGCAGTCGGATGAGTATTATCGACATTAGATGATGTCGACCGATGAGCTAACAAGTTGCTCAATTTGTGCTCAAGTCTTTGTCATGAAAGACACGCCAAAAGATTTTTCACTCTCCCTAGGCCTCATAAGCATGCTAATCGGGTCAACTATCGGGCGCTTACAGGGTGCACCACGGTCACTTATCGGGTCCAATTTCGGTTTATACCGGGCAGCTCGCGGCATGGATGATTGGTGGTCGAGTAAGCACCCGTGAACTTCCCGATGCGATTGTCTGAGTTGGCTAAAGTTCACTCACCATATCTCTGCTAGAAAACTCTGTACTTCGCTCAAAAGACGATTTTCGTAAACAGCGTGTTCGAAAACCTCTTTGAGCGAAGTTTCCTTACAATTCAAGATTATCGACATTTTGACCAAAATCCACCGGCGAGCGTCAGGGCGTAAACGAGAAAAAAATCAAATCACCCGAATTTCTTCGAAAACTTGCTGATAGAGGTTATCTGACCTGCTGATTACGAAAATCACATTTGCTTGACAGGAGAGCTTCTCAATTTAGAGTTACGGTGGGCAAAATTTGACACAACACGATTTTTCCAGAATTCACCAGCTCTTCTATCTTTTTCGAAAAAGATTCTCCAGTTCGTTTTTAGCGCTCGGTAATCTGCGGGAGCAGCACAATCCAATAGTGCTTATTGGAGTCTTTTATGTTTGATGTGCGCTGCGTTGCGACCTTGCGAATATACGCGCGCAGAAAATTTTGAAAAAATTGGGAACGGAATTTCAAAGACATGCTGTATACCAAAAGATTCGCCTCGACGAGCTGAACACAATGCTGCTTTCGGATTCCGAAGACGTTCATTCTGAAGGAAGTTACGGCCAGTAGAACTTGAAGCAGTTTGATTTTTCCAGAGTTTATTAGCTCTTCTATCTCTTTTGAAAGAGAGTCTTCGGCTGCTGTTTAGCGCAGGATAATCTACTGAAAGAGTACTATCGAATGGTGCAAACCGCAGTCTTCCATGTATGATGCTGATTGCGTTACACCCATACGAAAAGGCATCCGCATGCAAATTTGAGGTTTTTGAAAACAGGATATTGGAGACAATCTGTACAGCAAAAGATTCGTCTTAACGAGCTGAATACAATGCTGTTTTTGGATTTTGAATATACTCATTCGGAAAGAAGTTATGGCCCTGCGTAATTTGCGTGATTTACATGAATTTCGCGAAATTCCTGGAATGTCGCGAAATTCCTGGAATGTCGCGAAATTCCTGGAATGTCGCGAAATTCCTGGAATGTCGCGAAATTCCTGGAATGTCGCGAAATTCCTGGAATTTCGCGAACCTTCGCGGAATTCCCGGAATTCTGCGACATTCACGGAAATTTTGCACATTCTGTGAGCGGTACATTCTGCGTCTAAATTACTTCAGAAACTAAAATTCATGCGATATCCGGGCCTTCGCTTTTTGAGACTTCTGTAATCTGCATTGAATCAAATTCGTATGTGGAACGTTCTGCGGAAAGCAAACTTTGGTTAGACTTGCACTGCAATCTATGAGTCAAAATACTTATTTTATAGGAAAGCTTGTATTACACTGCAACCCAAAGGGCTTTTTAAGTCGGAAAAACTACGAATCTGCAAGAGATGACTTCGCAATTTTTCTACTCTAGCTCTTCTTTGTCTCCCAGCATTAATGTTTGTATCTCTAAGAAATTGAATGTATGACTTTTGCTACTAGGAAATTTTTCACAAAATTTTTCTTGCTAGCTAGCGCCATTTCAGTAATTCTTGCGACAAACCTCAAATCGCGTTTGAAATGCCGTTTTTGAGGTTTGGCTCTACGAGATTAGTCAAAAGATAGCTTCTGAGTGATTATATTGAAACGCAAATCTTTTTTATTTATAAATACAAATTATGAATTTAGTTTTAATTGATGATTTGAAGAGTTAATAAACTTTACTTGATTTACATAGGGATTTTTGCATCGATTTGATATTTGGAAGCATCTGAGTTTGTTAGCGAATATTTTGGTGAATTTAACCTTCTTCCATGACTTTTACAGCGTTTGTATAAGTTTAGAAAGAAACACTTATTTCAGACTCCATAAAAGACATGAAACTTTTTCCACTCACTTGTTACCTTAGAATGGGCTAGAGAACACATTCTCAAAAAACCGCCATCAAAAATGTGCAAAAAGGTCAAAATGGGCTTAGTCCCAGCTCACCATGCTGCTGGGAGTAAAATGGGCATTTAGGTCCATTTAAAATGGAGGTAAACCCCATTTTGCCTCATTCTAAATGGACTTTTCGCATGATTCTTTCGCAAGCGAGAGCTCAAGCATGGTTGAATCATTTTTATCACACCGCTTTGCTTCGTGGTTGCGATGAGATAAAAATTTTTGGATTACGCTAGCGAAGTAGATTCCGACCAGTTTCTACCGCGAACGAATAAAATGGGGTTTGGAAGTCCGTTTTCCTCCATTATGGACTTTCGTGGATATCATTCCCGGAAACCCCCCCCCCCTCGGTGGCCCTTCGGAACGAGAATTATCGGGTTTCTTGCAAGTTCTGGATTTCATATTCGGAATTAGGGACAGAAAGGCCCGAACGAAAAAAAACATGGAAGTCGAGAGTCATGGAAGTCTTGCTCGACATCATTTCTTTCGTAGAAGCGTGGAAAAAGTCTTCTTCTCCGAGATTGTTTAAAATTCAGTTGCCGTTGCCGCTCGACCTCCTACGATTAACCAGCAATGCTCAAGCGCACCCGTCCACCCATAATGCTATAAGCATGACCTGCTATGATATGACTGTGTTTATTGCCCAGATGCGAGTCAAGTCACTTTGCTCCACCTGTTATCGTCAACATTATACCACAGCACCCACGCGTGCTAGTCGACTGTTCATAAAGCTCTACAGCTAATGTGTTCTATATAACACAATCCAAGGGGCGCTATTTCGCTCAGGCTACTACAAAGCCTACGAACCACCGATACACATTCGAGACTCAAATTATGCACATCCTTCGACGCAATGAACAAAATCAGTCGCAGAAATAATGGTCGCCTTAGAAAGACCTTCATGGCAAACATCTGCGCCCAAATTTTCCTTCTCTAGTGATTTCTGCACAAACCTACACGAATGGGCTTGATGAAACGCAAAAAATCAGCTTTGCTTGGTCGGCGATGCACAGGATACCGGGTTACACTGACTAATCGAAAAGAGATGTGTCTTATTGGATGCGTCTTCAAACGCCGATTCGCAATTTGTTTTCCATTTCTGCGCTACAACTCTCCGACAGAAATACGACTGTTGAACCCGATTGAAAGCCTTCAGTGACATAAAATAGAGAATGCACTAATACACCTATGATTTCACAGGCTATTACCCTTGCAGTCATTACTACCCTGATCCAAAATTAGTTAGGCACCTTTGGTACTTTTATTCAGCTTTGCCACTAATATGCCACTTAGGGCTTGTGGATCTTGTCCTTTCAAACGCCCATAACTTCTTTGAGAGTTGTTCCGCAGAAAAGGAAAGCAGATTTGAAATCGGGATTCAAAGACGCGTTTAGTGATATAAATTTCTTTTCGATTTGCCACTGTAATTTGCAACTCCTATTAAACGTTCTCAGATTGCAACAGGGAAAAATCTTCTATTCTTCTCTGATCAAAGCCGGTCTGTCGGCATAGCCCAAGGATGGAAGTCTCGGCTCCCCATATAACAAACAGGAATTCCATTTCATAACTCCGATGTAGTACCATGTAGACAAAATACAATGCAAGAAAGGCTTTTTGAGGCGCGTTTTGAGTGATACTGTCCATAACAAAATCACAAGAGATCGCGTTTGCTTTGGGAGATGCCTGACATTTTATTTCCCTTATCTGTAGACTGTTCTCAAAAATTTATATGCTCAAATAATGCTTATGCATTTTCGTTTCACAAAAGTCAAATAGCGAAAAGCAACCACTGTAAGTTTGACCAGAGACGAAATGATTAAAAACTAGTAGTCTGAATGTTCCATTAAGTGGAAAATCTGTTTAACCAATTTTATGAGTTGATGAGGTGAAGGCAGGACGTGTCAGCTTTTCTCCCTCACCAGTATGAACTCCATGGTGAAATGACAACATTCAATTCTTCACTATTGAATTGTTTTAGATTTGCTTATCAGATCACTTTCTCACAACTAAAAGCGCCAGGAACTTGCAGCATATGTAGTGTTTGCAGAGGGCAAAAACAAAAACAACATCAATCAGAGCGAAAACAACAGTCGACATTGCCATTTATCTTTGGCTGTATCACCTAGACTATTGCAAAGGCATTAGCCTCATCTCAACTTTCTCTGGATTTTCTAAAGAGTGTTCTGCTTCTTCGGCTTTGATCGCTTATACTTCTTTAGTCTTTCAAAATACTTTTACAAAGCGCATGATTTTCTGTTCCAGTTCAAAATCGGCAAATCTTCCGGCAATAAGACTGATTTTTCGAAAGTAGTACAGAGCTTTTCTGCAAAATGATACTAATATACCACAAAAATGCAAGCCCTTCTAAAGTTCGTTTTGGTGTATTTGTATTTGTATTGCTGACCCTCATTTGTCGTTTTATGATGACCGAAGAACCACATTGATAAGAAATCAAGGCGATAACTAGGCAAAAAAGTACACATATACAATCTCATAATGGTTATTTCCTCATGAATATCTCCATGTTAAGCAAAATAACTGTGCTATTACAGACTTGACAGAGAATTTTGCAGCAAAATAAGATTTGGTTATCTCTTGCAAACCTAGCTCACCGGACAAATTTTTGAGCACACTAAAATGCTACTAAAATACGATGCGAAATATTAACGGAGCCGAAGTTGATTTGACATTTACTAATCCTAATTTTATTTATAAGATCATCGATTTATTTGTAACTTGAATCATAAACCAAAAACATTCTTCGCGCAAACACCTGTGTTAAAAACAAAAGGTAAGGACGCCAATGATTGCTGGTCAGGAATGTCGCGACGACATGGTATGAGCATTTTCAAGACTAAGACTATTTTTTGATGTCGCACTGGCACAGGACATGATTTTCAAAAAGACCTTTTCAAAATAATTTTAAAATATTTCCGAATAGAAAAGATGAAAAACTTACGTCATCCTTGGGCACGACTTTTTCTCCTTTTTGAGGAGCAGCCACCATTAGATTACGGACCGGGCACTTGTGTCGCGCACAGGAGCACAATAACAAGTTGAGGGCGTGCCGATACATCGGTCCTGCAGATAGGAGGTGTTTGATATCGTGCCAATAAGGCCTCCAACACTAAGTCATTCTGATAACAACCTGTTCTCTTCAACTTGAAAAGCGAAGGAGAAGAGCATCATGTTACACGTGGAGAAGGGAAGGTCAAAACATAAACGAATCAATGCCCCTGTGTGCAGACACAGTCCAATTTTAATTTTGGATTTTGAGTAGTATTCTATTCATTTTCACTATTCTTGAGAAAATTTATGTGCCATAAGCAGTATATTCAACAAGCTGTTACAAGAACCATGGATCTTTCCTTTATTTGAGTAATGATTTGCTTTAAGAAAAATCTATGAAACATTACCAACACTTTCCTTTTCGGTTGTACCCTAAAATCTCACAGATGAGTCCTCCCGTCAGATAATCCCGCCTCCAGATAAGTCCGTTTTTAGTTTTGCAATTTTAGGACTGCGGTCATTGTTTGAATTCTAGATTTCTTTTTGCACACTTTGGAAACCCACTACTGCAGATAACCAAGAGCATTGTGTCGCCGATTGTTATCGAATTATCTCAGGATGAACCGGACCATGAAGCTGTTTCCCTTACGAGAATGTTCTTTCAAATTACTGTCATTAGGTTAGTGATTTTACAAAGGTAAACGATAAAAAGCTGCACCCCTGATTTTTGATTTCTAAGCCCTCTTGTGACAAAGTAGAGCTCGTTCCTGTAGGAAATATCCGTCATGTCAGAATACTTCGGCTATAGCATGTTGTCATGGCGGTCGCAGGATTTTGCCTTGAGGGGGGGGGGGAGGGGAGAGTAAAAATTTCTTTCAAATGAAGGTGCTGTTAGCCATACACTCTGAAAAAAACTTTTGGGGTGCTCCTCAAAATTTTTGTGGGCCCATAAAGCAGCCACGCCCCGAAAAAATATTTTAATAAGGCTAACTTGACTTGCTAAAAAATTTCAAATTTAATTATTTACAAGAATGAAGATGTCACTTGCACATTTCACCCATTCGCGACTCATTTTCGGGGAGGGGGGGGGGGGGGGTGGGGGTGGGGGCTCCGTCCGCCACTGCATGTTGCTATTAGGCCGATCTAAAAGTTCCTGCCGTTCTTCAGACCTATGCTTGAATCGGAATAAAGATTGACAAACGCTCCAAACGGTATTCGATGCAAAATTTCTTCTTCTTCTTCTTCTTCTTAGCAGTCAAGTTTTTGTCCAGAGTCCTTAATTGGTCGTTCGTATAATTGTCGCAACCCGTGGTTTTACCTACCCTGATTTCAACCAATTTTACGATTTCCCTATTTTGCAATTGTAAGAGCTTTGATAACAGCTGAGAGCGTACACAAATTGCAACATGCATTTTTTGGCATCTATAGTTGGCTTCTTTATAATAATTATTTTCCAAGAAGCGGTAAACACCTATTTGCCATGTAATTAGAGTTTAACCGTAATAAAATCTTAGAAATTTCAAATCCAAAAGCCTATGAGTGTTTGAAGCGTTTTCGTATTTCACAGCTTCACAAAAGTAAAGACTTTCCCAAAAATCACGTTGAAAAAAGCTGGAAAGCCGATTCAAGATGACCAGTGTGTATTGCATTTGCTTACCCTATTTGACCATTACCAAAGCACTTTCGAAAGTGTAAAGTGAATATATTGCAAGCCAAAGTTAGAGTAAGGGAAAATAATGGGTTGGAGATTCCGATGATTAATCAAGCCATCATCAAAGATTTCGGAGCAAAAACGTCACTGCTGAAAAGAAGAAATCCTGCGTTGAAAACCATTTAAAGCGTTTGTCTATCGCTACTCTGAGTGATTTGAGCATGAGTGTGAAAAACGACACGAACTTTCGGACCGCCTAATATATAAACGATCTTCGAGGCTAATCAACAAGGAAACTGAAAAAATGCAGAATTTCCTCTTTTATAAGCATGATCTGACCAGATCTTGCAAAATTCACATCCATGAAAAATTTTCAGCAGACGATATAGACGAAAAAATTGCAGAGTGCAGTTGTTTGAGTAGTAGTTAATCCAACTATTCAGGGTGGAGGACACTAGGTCGCCGAATTTGGAACAGTCCCGCGCGGATTCCCTGCAGGAACGCATGTCCGCGCATGTACTCAGACACTCGCACCGGCCGGCGACCGTTCGATAACGGCCTTCCGGCCGGCGGCCGTTCCATCATTTTGGGCGGAGCCAAATGCCGGCCGGCCACCGGTCGAGTAAATCACGCCGGCCGGCGGCCGTTCCACTGTGCAAAAGCTCGGAAAGTGCACGAGATTGCGCGTACAGTATAGAAAATAATTTCAAACATTGGGCGCGTTGTGTCTTTTAAGCAGGAAGCTTTTCTTTGTTATTTTCCTTTGTTATTGTTGGGGTTTTCCACTTTGGTTGCGTCACTTCCTATGTTCGCATTTGATATTGACGTAGCCCATTACTGTGATTCCGCTCATTCCACTCTCTTTTTCAGATTTGATCAAACCCCATGGTGTTCGTTATCACTTCTTTCTGTGCTTATTTTGACTTGAATGGCGAAAAAGCCGAACGTCAGTGAGTTCATGCCTATTTGCTGCGACGTGAACTCTAGGTAAGTGTCGCAACACCTTTTGGGTACGAACTAAGGAAGTACAAACTAGACGTCCACAAGTTTTTTTTAGGAGACACTGCAATACGTTGTGTTTGGGTTCTTGCTTTTATGATGGACTAGCTGGCTTACCGGGCTCCGCCGTATCCGGACCAAACTTGGCACACATACACTTCGGGCCCCGGCGGGTGTCACAGTCCACTTTTCGTTATCGATCGATGTCGATTTTACCGATTTTTATCGATTTTTTGCAGAGTTCACCTACAGGGCTAGGAGTTGGCACAGGGGGGGGAAGTGAGCATGGGGATTCCGAATACAATATTAGTTTTCAAAATTATCGATTACCTTTATTGATTTTATCGATTTTTTGTAAATTTTGACATGCGAGGCTGGGATTTTGCACAGGGGGGTAATCGAGCATGCTGATTACGAACACAATATTAGTTTTCAGGATCGTCCATTACTTTTATCGATTTTATCGATTTTTTGAAAATTTTGACATGCGAGGCTGGAATTTGGCACAGGGGTGTAATCGAGCATGCTGATCACCCCCCTTGGGGATGATCAGCATGCTCGATTACCCCCCTGTGCGAACTCCCAGCCCCGTAGCTCAAACTTTGCAAAAAAATCGATAAAAGTAATCGATAATCCTGAAAACCAATATTGTATTCGGAATCCCCATGCTCGATTACCCCCCTGTGCCAACTCCCAGCCCCGTAGGTGAACTCAGCAAAAAAATCGATAAAAATCGATAAAATCGATATCGATCGGTGACGAAAAGTAGCCTATGACACCCGCCGGGGCCCGAAGTGTATGTGTGCCAAGTTTGGTCCGGATCGGTTCAGAAATGGAATTTTCGATTCGGAACATACGTACACACAGACAGACAGACATACAGACATACAGACAGACAGACAAACAGACATTCAGCTTTATATATAAGATACAATGAATGGTTGACCGCTGTCAGTTTAACACTGTTATTCGTGATTACGAAACACTGTTAATCGTGAATACGAATATGGCCAGTGAATGCTCCTAATCTCAATGCTGCGAATTGTGGACTATTCCTGCTTTGCTGAGTATTCTAATTCATCTAGAGATCGCTTATCTGTTGGTTTCTGCTAAGTCACTATGTGATATTACCGCATTTCTGTTAACCTGGTGCTTACGGCTGCTCGAAGCACTCCAAAAGATGTAAGTTTTCCCTGACTAACATTTGATTGAAATTACCCAGTGTTTTCTAGGGACCCATACGAACATCTGTTCTAATCATCTTCTGTGAACGCATGTGTTTTGATATTACTCTGCTAACAGACGTTATCGCTACTCTATGCATAGCTGTAAGTTTAAGTATAAGTTAAAAATTGTCAATAGTTTATTTCATTTACAGGTTATCGGATGAGGCTTATCAATGGTTGAATATGGCATTCAGAAGCAAAACAAAATTATGTGACCTTTTAGCCAATCCGGAAAGGTTGTCCAACGATATGTGAACCAATTGCATCAGATGAAATTATCGTATATATGGAAAGTCCTTGCTTCTTAGTTTTGAAGTATATATGGTCACTTGCTTTTTAGTTTTGAATGTATTTTACATGCATATGTGTGCAGTGTGTCAATGTTTATTTTTTGTTTAATGTCTCTTTGCATTGTACCTTTTGGCTGTAATAAATATGTTGTTATATATTCGTACCACTCCATATTAAGGTTACAAAGCTGAATGAAAGCTAGATAGAGAAAAAAATACTGTGGCCCAGTGCTATTTTGTTGCGCCACTGACGCATGCCGGCCGGCGGCCGTACGGGTACCGGCCGGCGGCCGTTCGAGTACCGGCTGGCGGCCGGCTGGGGATCGTTCCGGCCGAAATGTCGGTGACGGACCGGCCGGTCGTGGAACGGCCGCCGGCCGGTGCGAGTGTCTGAGTACAAGGGTGCGTATTTGTCGCAAACGACCGCGGGACCGCCCTTTTTCGGCGACCTAATGTCCCCCACCCAACTATTCAAGGATTCTTTGTTCTTTCTTTTGACCCAATGTGTCACTTTTATGGAGATTTATTGAACGTCGCATATCAAATTATTCTTCACGGATAGTCAAATTTTGTGCGGTTTCAACATCCTTATTAAGGTATCGCAGCAATTTGTTGCACATTACGTCCATTATTGCTTCGCAACGGTTAAACTTGATTTGGGGTATTTCGATATGTGCATTGCTAAGTATAAATCCAGTGCTATGATTTTTCATCTGCATTGAAAACTCTTTATATCGTAGTGATCCTCTGGCAGAAAAAGACACATTCACTTGAGAATCTCCACACTGTTTACCCTTATACGAGATATGCTAGGACTATGTTCATTTCGCGGTTTGAACAAAATATTAGGCTGTCAGGGAAATAATGTCGTTTTTTTATTTGCTTGCTTTAGCAAAGCAACCAGGCTCAACACCATGCAGGGTAAGGCTACGGGCAGGTCACGCGACTTCAGAGTCGGCATTGTGACAAGACAACTGCAACAATCATTGCATCTTCTTGTGATTTTCGGCTGTGATAGTCAGTCATGATCAGTCGTGTTGGAAAACTATCACAACCGAGATACAAGAAAATCGGCACGTAGCTAACTCGTAACTCTTGCCTTGTCGCGATGAGTCGCGACGATGAAATCGCGTGCACTCTGCCCGCAGCCTAAGGGGTAATATTCGACAGGACAAAGCAACCTCTACTAACTGGTATTGCTTGCACGTCAAGATTGTTCCGCGTGAAGAAAAAATCAAAATCTAAAATTAAATCCCCAAAAAACCGGAAAAAATCTGATCTCCATCCAAATAATTTCTACAGACCTCCCACTCACATGTCAATAATTTCGATATCAGACATTCATATGTGCAAATGCTGTACCTTTTCCTTGACAGGGACTGAAAAGACGAAATTTTCTGATATTCTCAAAGCATTGCTGAGCCGTTCTCGAATATGTAGTTCTATGCCACAACCCTAGGTAAGTATGAATGTAGGTTTACAGCCTATTCCGAGCGGTACTTTTCAGAAATGTCGATTCATCACTGGAACGGAAGAGAAAAAAGCGGGTGTAGGGCGATTCGCACGACCGTAATGCTTTCCACCGCCGCGCGCGAAACACCCTGCGGCGGCTTTTGCCTAAGCAAAACAGGGGGAGGAAAGATTTGCGGCGTGCATTACATGTTAAGACAAGTCAAATTCAGGGAGACACTGGAGACCGTCCGTGCGAAAAGACCGTCTCCCGAAAAAAGCTGATTCGATATCTCTCGAAAACTACCGCTCGGAATTGGCTAAAAATCTAGAGCCATACTTACCTAGGCTTGTAGTATAGAATTACATATGCAAAAATGGCTCAGCAATGCTTTAAGAATACCACAAACAATGGAAAAGCACAGCATTTGCACATATGGATATCTGATATCGAAAGTATTGACGTATGCGAGTAGGAGGTCTGTAGAAATTATTTGGACGGGATCCGATTTTTGTCCATTTTTTGGGCATTAAAAAACCTTTAGATTTCAACTTCACACTTGTTGCAAATTCATATAATCCATTTTGTAGAGCTTGTTTTGCTCTATCAAATACCACCCCTTACCTTCGTTATATTGAGCCTGGTTGTTTTGCTAAAGCAAGCAAATAAAGAACGACATTATTTTCTTGACAGCTAACATTTTGTTGAAACAAAATGATGACGAAATTAGATTTTCCAAAATGCTTTTCGGATTAAATTGGAGGCGCAAGCTCACATCATTTATACATAATCCGCAAAACTGCAGAAGTAATTTGTTTTTCGCAAATGATCAGAGTAATCTTTGAAATTATCAAGTTCAGACTGGCTCTGAAAAACTCTTGGGTGCTATGCTAAAAGTTTGAAATGTGTCCCCAAAAATAACTGGAGGTGTTATTAACACCATACCATATTGAAAAAATATGTATTATCGGCTCCATGATTCGTGCAGAGGCGGAGACGTGGAAGCTTGGCCGCGTCCAGGCAGGATCTTGGTTAGCCGCAGCTTTGAGACGATTTTGTAAGAACCGTGGACGAGAGCTAATGCTATACTTGTCGAAAGCAAGCATTAATAGGTAGACACTATGTGTTTAACTGTGTTTGCAACGTGAAAACAAGTCCAGGGCAGAGGAGAGTTCGTTCAAGGGGACGGGCCGTGCCAGAGAGTGGGTGTGGTCCTCGAGGCTCGGCGTTTTCTGAGCCGATACACAGGGGGTGTTTGAAAGTTGCGCGATAGTTCTGGATGGAGGCCCAGTACTTGGTTATGGCATTCCGAAAATGTCCAAATCTGCTCGAACGCTGCCTCTAAAGCGCGGCGGTTTTCGATAGCGAGAGAGTGCGAAAAACAAGCTATAACATGGAGTTTTAACAATTGGAAAAAATAGTTTATAGTCACTTATGTACCGTTTTCCCCTTGAATCAAAAAAATCTCATACTTATAACAAACGCGCAGCCACCGAAATTCACTGAATTTTGTCTTCCTTCAGATGGCTGCTTCAGTTGAGTACGGATCCGGCTTTATAAAAAGGAAACCTGCCGAAAAAATGTGGAAACACATAATACAGCCTAACCCCCTGACTCCTGGAAAATGTTGCTAATCGAAGATGAGTTCATTCAAGCAATACGTTGCTCAGATGAACTCATCTTCATATATACAAGCACAAGGAATTCATAGCTGGAACCTGTACCATACTACATCGTACAATGTAAACTTGATGCCAAGTAATTTGTATTAAATGTAATGATTAAGTAGAACTATCTCCCATCAACAGTCAATATCTAATCAAGTGCAGTTGGGCCCACCTCTAACAGCTTCATAACTCCGAAAACTAAATAAATTAGCCCTCATCATGCGAACGTTCTACAAAAATGAATGTAATCAAGCTAAAGTTTGTATAGAATGTGGAATACGTAAACATGTTTTGAAAATGCATTAACTTGTTTGATAATTACTTCAATTCCCCACGATTAGTCAAAATCATTTAGAAAAATTCTCGTTCCAAACTCTTCCGGCCTATCATCAAGATTGCCTATCATAAAGAGATGAAGCTAGCAAAAAATAGAAAAGTTGCACCAATATGCCACCTGCACTATAACAGTTGGGATTCTAAATTTCAATTCCAAGTGCTGAGTTATTTCGTGAATTCTTCGACTTTAGCACCATCAAGTTCTTTTCTTCTTATAATCAAATGCAAGAAGTACTCTCCGATAACCTCATGAAGGTCTTACTATCTTGGGCACACTGTGCCCATAGAAATTTATTTATGAACTTGACGTTTTTCGATGATATAATTTAAGAGAAAACGATGAGCATATCCCAGAAGATAGCTTCATTTGATTGGGAAGGTTTTCTTGCAAAAATAGAAATTTACGACCTATATGTAACAAAAACAAACTGTTTATTATTTACGAATGCTGTTCGGCTAGAAAAGTGTTAATATAGAGATACGACATCCGTGTACAAGCTTTGTTTCTCATTGAATTCTCATTTTCTTGAAGTATCGCTCAAAGGACTTGCACAGAATAGTGGAAACAATTACGTAAAATCTTTTACTAAACATCTCTCCACACCTAGGAGAGAAGAAGTTTTCTATTGTTATCGTAGGAGAGAGCATTTAAAAATAAGTATTCCTTCGCTTTTTTGCCACTGTTTGTTGAGACTTCTTAAAAGCCATCTAAAGACTGGAATATGTGGAGATGCAGGATTTATTTAGCAGCGTTTACAGTACGGCTGTGGTTGTAGGTACTGCTTCGAGATACTAACACTATGCAAATTATCAGGTGAGATTCTGCAACGCAGATGGCAAGCACAATTGTGTAACCCAGTTCCAAATCAATGGAAAGAATATTTGCGCTTTTATATGCAACTAGTCTACTTTTTCTCGTAAAGAGCATTACTTGGAGTACAAGTTGACTGAACAATATGGTTATAGTACCTTACCTCTGACGAAAGTAGCCGTTCGAAACGCGGCATATAGAGGCTTCATGAATCGTAAATTAAGTTCGACTGCTTCTTCCCTCCCACTCAGTGTCGCCTAAGATCCCAGTACCCTGGAATTAACATCAGTGCTCAGTAGAAGTAAGATACGTTTCAAGCTTAGGCGAGCATTATGCGGAATTACGATCTCTGGGCTAGAAGCAAAAAATCAAACGTAAGACAAAATTCAAAACAAGTAGCACTTCGGGTCGATGTGGGTTCCGAAAGCATACTAGGAGTTTTTTGAAATGATTACATCAACGCAAGAAGTTAGGCGCTAAAAATTTACATTGTTATATCTGATCGCTCTCGTGGATTTACGCCTCAAAAATCGCTAATGACCTAGGACAGAAATATTGTGCAAAAATTTGTAATCAGCGTTGATATATCCGCCTACATACACCGCATCGTGAACTAACCATCCCTAATGGCAGTATGATCTGCTCTTCTTCTGAAGCATGCCTTTACCAGGGCACGGCACAGGTGGCTTAGCAAGCAAGCTGGATATCGTTTTTGTGGAAGAGCATAACGTTGTCTTTCGATCTGCGGCCGGCACGCTGCCGGCATGCCGCCGGCAAATAAACAAAGGGTTTGTTTACAGCGAATTGAAGATGAAATGACACCAAAATAGGTGTGTAGATGGGCAATGGGGAATTAGGACTAAGTATGAAAAATTATGGAACAATTATGTGAACTAAATGCGTGCTCAACTTTTTCGGAGTTAGGTGGCTTTCAAGCCACCTGGATAGCCACCTGAGGTGGCTTAGGAAAGAAAAAGTCATAAATTTTTCCTTACTCACATAATTTTTCTCCTTTCTTTACATACTTTTCATCTACATGCCAAACCCTACAAACTGGTTCCTAAACCGCCTCAAACCCCCTTCTCCCCGCTTAGTTATAGTGCCTTGAAAATTTTGAATGGCGGCGGAAAGGCTGCTCTAGGTGCGTATTGCTGCACGATGGATACATCATGCCGCCAATCCGGAGAATATGAATAGCATTGCGTGTGTTTGATTATTCTTTTTCGTTTTTTTCTGCTGTTGCTTTGTTCCGTTCCTTTTTGTGTATTTTCTCTTCGAATATCTCGTGGCGGATGTCGTAATTTCATTGAAGTCAAAGGGGACTTCATTTTTTGCAATTTCGGGACGCCACCTCGTGCCGAGCCCTGGTCTAGGGTCAAAGGGGACTTCGTGGAAATTCGCAAAAGTCAAGGGGGACTTCGTTTTTTGCATTTTCAACTAGCCACCTCGTGCCGAGCCCTGGCCTTTACTTGCCATATTACACCATATTGCGGACGTGCCCGCAGTCACAAGCCAAGAGAATGCGATCTCCACCTGAGTTGTTCCCCAGCAAAACTCGACATGTACAACCAGACTCCAGAACACTATTAAAGATGTAGTGGTCTAGCAGACGCAGAATCTTGCTGGCACGAAAAAAATATATATACGAAGAAAAAATCGCGCTACCCACGGCTTGCCGCCTATTTTGGGAACTACAGAAGACCGTAGGATTGAAAGCTAAAAATTTACTTGTAAGCCACTTGCTGAGTACAAATGATTCATCATATGGTTTTGAGAAACGTTGATGAACGCACATATTGTCGAGTCACTTGCAACTCAATATGCGTAATCACACCGTGATCTCTACTTGACGATTTGTAAGATTGAAGCTTCAAAAATTTTCAAACAGTTCTCCTTGTTTCTTTGTCTCTTTATTGAATTGGATATACTTCAGTTGGAAGAACACGTTTCTATCATTTATCAAGCCAGTAAAGCTTCTAATGATGAATTACTAGTGAAAATGTCGTAGGTTGCAGCATATAGTGTGCAGATATACGACTTGCAAATGGATAGAGAATGCCCAAAAACCGTTTGTTTTGTTCACAGCTTTTTCTGGAAAAAAAACATCTCATGTTAAATTTTGGGCCTTTGGCTCAATACTGACGGGAAACTTCAATTTTTTGCTGACTCCGTTGAATAGACAGTGCTTTCCAAAGAATCTTTAAAAGGTTGTACGCGTTTCCAATTCTAACTCCACCATCTGCACTGACTCGGAATTTGCCTATGCCATACATTGATCTGGTCATTCTAATTTATTTAGCTTTGAACGGAAAATACTGAACGTGGACGAAATTACGGCACTGCATAGAAAACATGAATGAGCATCATTTGCGCTATTCTGAATCTCACATACGAGAGCATCATCGATTGTGAAACACCACTCCATGGAATGTCGCAAGCTGCTTCTAAGCAAGCTCTATCTCTTTCTGAAGTTCAAAGCGGTTCTACATAGCAAAAAATTCATTTAGACAAAAAATCTCACTTGTTTTCTTAAGAAAAACAAAAGTCGCTAAGAGTATTTCGACCTTTCATCGCCTGATAACATCCCTACCGCGCCTCCAAAAAAAATACTTTCCAAACTGCTCAAACAATCAAGAAACTTGCTCAAATTCTCTAACAGCTTTACGACGAAATCGTGACACTTTCTCGGTTTCTTACAAGGGAAACTACTTAACTTAGCTCGGCCTTTTGGCAAGGGACATATATATTCCGAATCAGCTTCAAACGCTGATTTCAAATATACTATTCCTAGCTGCCACGCGCCATTCCGTAGCGAGTTATGAGCTTTTTCCTGCGCAAAATTGGCACACTCATTGACTCAGTGGAATCATGGCATCATTATCTAAGTGCTAATACACTTGTGTTTAGCTTCTTTTCAGTGATAAAAGATTGTATTTGTGTTATCTCGACTTTTTCTTGCAAATTTTTATTTACAGGCAGTCTTCCCATATTCAGCAGTATGCCAATTTTGCGCAGGAAAAAGCTCACAACTCGCTACGGAATGGCGCGTGGCAGCTAGGAATAGCATATTTGGAATCAGCGTTTAAAGCTGATTCAGATTATATGGTCACTTGCCAACGAGCTAAGTTAGGTAGCCTTCCTTATTAGATGAAAGTCCTGGATGTCAGAGAAAGAAGGAAAATAGGAGGACGGTGCGACTAAATTATGTCTCAGCAAAAGCAAGGCACTTGCCGCGCTTTCCCGAAATTGCTTGCAAGGCAAAGCGAATCTATCAGGTTGTGTAATAAGTTTTGTCCCATTTTTTCTTTCAATTTTCTATCAGTAATAATTACCCTATTTAGAATAAAGTGTATATGCTTTTGAAAGCTCCAAATCTATTCTGCAAAATCGTATGCTTCATCCCCAACCTATGAGGATATTGAAAACGATCATTGGCACCAGAAGAAAAAATCCGAAGAGGCAAAAAATCCATTTCAGACATCTTTTTCTTCTCCAAATTTCCCCGTTTTCTATTGGTAATTTTTATTCAACAAGCTTAACAACAAATAGAACAACCTATTAGACTCTTATGGTTGTAATGGCATTGTTTGTGCTTGATTCCTTTGTTGTACCGACCTCTTAATGCCCTTTTTTTAGAAGTCGACAGAGCAAGAATTTGCTGCGGTGACGTTCGTCGTCTCGCCTACCTAAGCTGTGTGGCCCCAAACATTGAATTTTTGAGTAACACCCATGAATTCGATGATTTTATAGCCAAAGACCATTGCTACTGCTTTTTCTGGATTATCCGTCTGACGTCCTTTTTCAGCGCTGCCTTCAGGTGCCCAAGCTCAACCTTGAAAAGTCGTTAACATGAAGACTAATTCTGAGTTCGAAGAGAAAAATTTTTGGAACTTTTCTGTACTTTTGAAACTCTGCAAAAGCTAAAGCATTCCTTCCTTACGCTCAGCAGATTTTTAGAGCTGTTTTGTAAGCATTCTGACTTAAACGGGGGTCACTCAAATTAGTTGTCGAAAATGGATTTTTTCCTCTTCGGTTTCCCAGACTTGATGCTGGAAAAGTTTCTAAAATCCACTGATGTAGGAAATTCAAATGAAGGTTTTGGTAGAGCAGACTTAGAGCTTGCAAATGCACATAAACATTATTCAAAACACCGTGCGAAACATTGTGAAAAAATCGGAAGAAAAATACAGAACTTATCACACAATCTAATAGTTAGGGTTTGAACTCGAATTCGGTTGAGATGTTCATAACATCTTTTTTCGATTCAATAATTGAAGCAAGCACATATTACTCGACAATTTTGCTGCTTATTCCAAAAGACTTTCCATGACTTAATCAATAGTTCGCCATAGAAAACATAGGTATGATTTCCTCACGGCTACAGGCACCCCTGATACTAGAAACCTTCTACTTAAGACATTTAGCAAAAAGTATCGATTAGATGAGCAAATTGTTGTCGTAGCAAATTGTTGTGTGCGATAAGCATAACCATCAACAAATCTGACAATGGGAAATTTCTTCTTGAGATTCACAAGTAATCAGATAAAAAAAACTATGCTACTTGTCTCCTATTGAGAAGCGAATGTAGCGCCAAGGTTTGCTAGATGCTAATGATAAGATCAACCCATCTCTCAAGAGAAAGAAACTCTAGCCTGCTTACTGATTTGCTCTCTTTGATGCGACACTCTCTGCAATCCTGCAAATGGAGGGCCCACAATCTTTTATAATAAAAGAACTCCAAATAGTTACTGTCCGATATATCTACTAAGCGACAGTAGTGATGATGTGATTCGTAATGTAAGCCTTTCAATCAAAAAGACAATATCAGTCCAATAGAAGAGCTCATAGAAGTTTCTGTCAAAGTGATACTCGAAAAAATTAACAAGAACTTTGCCATAAGTTTCCAATATGTATCTCTTCAAGCAGGAGCTCGCTTTCCATCAAAAGCCTATTCTGGTGGGACTCGCTGAGAAAACACAAGGAGTTCATTGAAAGACCTGTGATACCGCATGAACAAGTTCGTGTTCCATCACACCTATTTTTGCAACAAAACAATTATTCATGAAGGTTCACATAAATGCAGCTTTTGGGGTTCCCTAGAGTTTATTTGGATGATGTTTAGAAATACCCTCTTTAGCGTTTCATCCAAAAAACGACAGATTTTTTCAAAGAGCAATGATTCTATTTACTTTTCGAAAACTGAATTGAGTAGTCAACAAGAGTTTGCATTGTGTAGAAAGTTGCGACTGTTATGCGCCTAATCTAAAAACTGAGATTTATTTACCCTTTTCATATCTTATTTCTCTTTCAAGACTGCGCACATTGCTGCATAGGATACAATCACATGAGCTAAAATATTCAAACGATATAATAAAACAAGCAAATCTTGAAGATCTAGAGATTACAATCTGAAGGTGCACCGAAACCGATCAACGGATAGCGAGATGACAGCTGAGTAAGTGAAAACCTAGCAAAAAGAACAGCTTAGCAAGGCATATGGATCACAGTAAAACCCAAGACAACAGATGAGATTTGAACGATAAAGATGTCGTTTGGCAACTCCGAAAATAACTTGGGATAATCGTAATTTAGACTCGTTGAGTGGATAACACGACACTATCACGAGGTGGATCTATTTGGTCACTGAGTGGGTTTGAAAACGACTCAAACCTGAAAGAGAATGCTGAGCAAAGGATGACCTAATGCCAGTTTTTGATGAAATTTAAAATCGAAGATTCTATTTGTATGATCATCGCAGCATCAGCAAATGACACACAGATTAGATGATTTTTATCAAGGCTGAATCATAAAAACAGCGACGAATACGCTTGACAAACAACTTGATATTCGACTGTGATAAATTAGTCGATATCGTGCGGCTGCTGAACTGCACTAGCAGCATGTGAAAATCAACGTTCTGCCCTATGAATCGATTTGCACATCATTCTCATCGCAGTCGCTGAGAAGTACAAGACTGCTAGACTAGCACCAACTTTTCACTTATACGAAACTGAATTCAACAACAGCCTGAGAATGAGTAATAATGTGAAACAAAAGCAAAAAAAGATATCTGGTCATGATCAAAATCAACAATAAAACCAAACTAACCGAAAAATGAATAAAATTTGTTTTTATGGTATAACGACGTTATAATAACACAATACAGACCTGGAACTGCCGCGAAGGCTACATACCCAGTCTCGCATGCGGTCGATCAGATGTAGAGCACGAACACTATTCGAGTCGCTGCCAGCCCCTAAAGCAGAAGCAACTGAACGCCAAGACTTGTTAGTAGCAAAACATCGATATTATGATCGGATAAGCCTGAGGCAGGGAATAGCGGGATACATTAGAGTTGTGCTACTGGTCACAAATAGAGGAGAATAACACACTCGGATGCAGAACAGTCACGAGACGCCATTTTTCTTTTGTTACACGAAAGGTTTCTAGTGCGATGGCAGTGATGTGAGTGCGTGAAAAAACTGCAATGCGTCTCAGGTTCATTGTCAAGATTCTTTTGTCACACGGGTATGGGAAAGTTATCCTATGTACCTAAGCTTCTACAAGAATGTCCTTGCCTTGCCTTTGACGCGTTTTTCCGAAACGTTTGGGGCGCTGTCGCAAACGCCTCAAAGGCAGCAAACGGACTGCGTTTCAATGTAAGGTCCAACTCCAGACAGGCAAAAAAGCAGGGAGTAGCAAGCAAAACCCTATTTGTAAGCGCAGGACGTACAGCTCCAAAGTTGATGGCTAAGCACACTCGCTCCTTAACCTTATTCGTTCACCTCCATCAGTTAACTTTACTCAAAGAGCTTCTTTAAGGCATAGTAAAGGTGAACAACGACAGTGGAAGCAATGTCCAAGCAAACATAATCTCAGGGAAAATATTTTTGGTCAAAGTAATGAGGTATTGACGGTAGCATGGTAAATGCTGACACATAAGTTTGCCATGCATCAAATTTTCGAAAATCGAAACTTCGCCATTTTATTAACCGTGTGAGCGAAAGTGCTTTCTCTGCCCGAATAAATCACTCCTACTCTTACAAGAAACGAGCATTTTGTGAATTCTTGAGTTGGATGCATAGCAAAAGATGTCATGAATTGTTGGTGGATCTGATCTGGATATCCGCTAAACACTCCCTGATGGAAGTAGTTCACATCATTTTGATAGCATGTATTATATTGTTTGGAGTCATTGACAAGATCGCTACCTCATTTTGACTAGAAGCCGAAGTGTTTGCTGATTGTTTACCTTGCAAAGTTTGTTCATTCGTCTTGCCACAAATAGATACTATAAAATTTTTAGTTAGCCTCTGCCCATAACATTAGATAACGCAAACTAGGCGGTTATGAATATGTAAAAAAGGAAACTCCGGGAAGCAGCGGTGTAGAGATCGTGCAGTTTACTCTGGCAGTGACAGTAAGAATGTGAAAATTCATCCAACGCTCAAAATAAACAGCAGAAATTCCTTTCAATCAAACGAGTTGTTCAAGGCAGCAACTAGCACCTTCCTTTAGCTTTTCTTTTTTATATTCCAAAAGGGCAAAGTGCAAATATGTGCTTCATTCTGGGTGTGCATATAGCAATCATGGCATTTTGCACGACGAGGCAAGCGTATGGATAAAATGACCTATTGTTATAAGTGGACATAAATACTGCGTGTAATTTCAAGGTATATTCGGAGTGCTAAAAAAGCAAAAGCGGAGATCTTCATTAACAAGCTTTTTGTTGAGATACATCGCACAAATAAATCGCTACTCTATTGCAATATAAAAGATGGCATCTATCAAACAGGCTCTTGCGCCAAGTTAACCATATTTCTAGCTTAGCGTCCAGGGTTGCTATGCATAACATGGGCGAACCTCTGAGAATCAGACGTTTGTACAATTATTTAGCACAAAAAATCTGTGACAATGAATACTAGCTAGCGACTTTGATATCTTTAGATAAGTGAATTATACTTCGAATACCGAAAAGTAAAAGATAAAAATGCTTTCCGAAAAGGATGAGATAAAAATAAGTTCCCTTATTGCAAAAAGGTAAACATGTGGAAGCGCATGTTCTATCAGGGCGATACATGTGCATCTGTACGACTACAGATCCGAAAGACTGGAATGTGACCACGAAGCATACCAGCTAATCCTATGAACACAGATGAGCATTTAAGTTTTCTGTCAGTTACATACAAGATGTAATGAGTCTAAGGATGATTTCGGTGGAAAGGGCGTCTATGTATCTTTTCAATGATTAGATATAAAGAGCTGCAAATTTGCTGTGTTAATATCACATTATTAGTAGCAAACGTATTAACTACTAAGAGTTGCCTTTCAGCGAGAATTCTGAAGCGAAAATTCTATAAAAACTAAAATGGCCATTCGATGAATGATTATCATCAGAAGATGAACACAAGGATGATAGCCACTTCTGCCCACCGCGGCAAAATGGTAGTGACTATCAGAACAAACCATATAGATAAAACGAGTTATTGATGAGTTAATAAGAAATCAAATCAAAAAATAAAGAATGAGTTGCATAGTTTACTTCATTTGAGCACAATGTTAATGCAGCTTACCATGCGAAAAAAAATCCGCCTCAAACACAACCCACAAAAATCCGTGAGTGTTGAGCATCAGTGCAAGTGTTAGAGCAAGCGAGAAGCCACCACATGCCCAATAAGCTATCATAACCCACCGACCGAGATTCAGAAGCGCCTGTGGAGCGAATTGCGCTTGTGCAGTAGGCGAATTCAATTCGGAAAGCGACGGAGCCGTTTTCACAAAATCTTTGAGTAACGATCGTTCCATTGAAAGTCCGTATGAATATCGATCCTAAAATACATTCAAATGCGAAAAAAAATGTTATCAATGAAGTAGGCTCCACACATTTCACGCAACAACGAAGCAACTGACGAACGACAAAAAGGAAAATAGTGTAAACTCTCACCTTGACTACTTCATACGCATCCATTATGATGGCTATGAAAAGCGATAGCACCACATAAATAAACATTGATACAAAGATATATATGTACACGGTACCGAACACCTGAATGAAATATTCTGGATACGAATTGAAAAGAATCATGACAGATTACATGATAAACATTTTGCTACAACCTTTATGGTGGTGTTGGAATCCCCAATAGTATAAAACGTAGCAAACATGTCATCTCCATTCATAAGAGAAAATAAAGCTTCAGATGACTCCCCCAATGTCCGGAACTGCAAATAATATGGGTATATTGAAGCTTAAAAGTGCATGATATAGTACCTTCATGCTGTACGGTCCAATAATCACCCAGCCTGCAACAAGGAATCCAACGTATAAAACTATAGCGCAAGACATGAACCGTAACATGTTCGGAATCGACTTCTTCATGGTAAGAATCAGTATCTGTAAACCGTATCAAATTCACCTGCTATCAGCCAAACAGAGTGGTAGAGATACCGAGGATAAGGTTTCGATGCATAATTATAATACAGAAAGCTCTAGCATATCAGTGGCACTCTGCGAGGCGAGGGAGGAAGAATGTGACAGACTAGAGTGAAGGGACGTTTCCGGGAGAAAATTTGTAGGAGGCTTTCCAGGCTTTCCGAAGCTTCCAACCCGTCCAATTTTAAAAAGTCTTCATAGAGCTAACCACTGTTTGGCAAGTCGCTAGGAGATATCTGATTATTTATAGAAAGCCGGTAGATTTAGGCCCGTATGCATCCCCACTGGGGAGGGGAGGGGATCTGAGAGGAGATGCTTCATATCTCGCTACTTTACGTATCTTTCTTCTTCTTCCTCTATCTTGCTTATGAAGTTTTTCATACACTTATACCTGCGCATAGTGGATGCCAGGTTACTCCCATACAAGACTGGTTTTTTGCCATCTTGTGTGATCCCCAAAATTCTGCCTTATGACACGTAAACCATAAAACATTGTGGTAACATTTCCATGATACTTACATTGTACTGGTTGAAAAAGCCGAAATATCGCAATACGCCGACATAAACGAGCAGAGCTCCCATCCCAAGCAGAATGCCAGATAAAGTAAAAACGGAATTGTCGAAATCCTGAGAAAATTTGCAATAAACTGTCAGCATTTCACACACGTAATAAACTTGTAAAATTTAGCCCCACTCACACGGAATTCGATAGAGATCTTGCTGACAGTTCCAACAACAATAAGCAAGTCATTACTAACGATCATGACGTACCTAAAAGAATGGTGAACGACGTGTCACGTTGACAAAAAAGAACCAACTCACCACAGATTTAAAAACTCCAACTGATCGGTGATCGATAATTTAGTTTTGAAATTATTTTCAAAATAATCTATAGCCCTCTGAAATCATGAATGAGTGTTTTTTCATCATTAGGCGCAGATTATCATTAAAGGAATAAATACTGCATACATTCTTCAGCAGATGTGCTTTGATGAGCGCCCTGAGACAGAGGACAAACGATGATAAACACAGCAGCAGAACGATTATATCGGTTATTCCCATGACTACCGTGTCCCAACCAAGTCCGACTCCTGTAATCAACAACGAGTCTACATGTCCACGAAAATAATGACCGAACTTCTCAAAACAAAAATGAGGTTTAAAATACCTTTGATAACCCTGCCATTACAAACATTGACGTAGGAAATAATAGTGGAGAGGCCCACATGTACCTGCCCAGTGTGACGAGAATTATCAAATGTGATTGAGACCTGCGCTGATTATTCTAAAATGGTGGCTCATATAATCCAAGAAAAACCATACCGATATTTTGTAACATTCCGGTTTCTGATCGCCAGATTTAGGGCTGAAATGGATGGTGCGGAGTTTGAAATTCAAGCATGCCTTGGAGATGATCAGAGAGTCTTCCGATTTGAACGTGACACCTGGCAAATAAAATAATCATAATGATAATGATAATCAGCTAGGTATTAAAAGCAATAATCAGCTCAAACTTTCAAAGGCCTTGCAGCCATCTGACTGCAGATAACGAGGATAAAACAATGAACGTTTTCAAAATGCTATTCTGACAAGCTCAGATGCAGAATGTACATGAATGACTTTCCATATGTATTTCAATCCTCTCACAATCACACTCTAGCTACCAACAAACTTCGACTAGCTCAACGCTAGTTTGTAGCAATTTTCACTATATTGCTTTATAACTCGACATATTACTTGGAAGATTACCTCGCTTAGCAAAAGCACGGGCGACAGCATCAGTTTCGCCATGTATTTCTTTGACTTCCTCAGCGGTAAGGTTTAAACGCATACATTCTGAATTATAAAGATTGCAAGCAACCACGACGCATGTAGTCAACGAACCATGTACATCAGTGATGTCAAACTCGTAGGTATTATTATTTATGGTGACGCTATTGATTCTATCCACGCAGATCTGAAAAGCAGAAAGCTACCCTGTCAGATAAGTAATGGGATTCTCAAACCCACCTCAATAAACGGTATGCTTGCGAAATCGATACCAGCGGTGAAGGATGGATCTTCTACATCAGTTTTATTCTTGGGCACTCTTTGAGTGTCATAACTGAATGATGCGAATGAATCCGTTTGCAGTGAGTAGTACTAAAATATGTGTTCAAATTAATAATATGATCAAACTCCACGTAAATGTGCTCGTTCGAACTGATCACACAGAAGAAGATCAACATCGCATTAGCGGGGTCCAACAATCAAAACTTGCTCGTGAAAACAAAATAACGTGAGATGAATCACCAATATACTACTTGTTCTGCAGATAGTCCTTTTTGCGTGAGATCAAAATGGGTGGACTGGCGATTCAAGATACTTCGTTTCGGGTTTTTCTGCATACTGTGCACTATGATAGCAACACGTTTGCAACGTATAGAAGATTTTAGGAAAAACAAAAGACCGGAGTACGGTGTTAGTCAACAAAATGCTGAACGACCTGTTCTCAGTAAGCAAGCTCTCAAATAGATCAAAATGTCAACCAAATCGCTCTGAACCAACCCCAATCATTGAAACACGACTTATTGCGTGAAAAGGGCAACCACGATATTTTTTGTTTTTATTCGCGCTCATAGCGGCAGAGAATCACAAATAGTATGTTCAACTCCATACTGTTATTTATTGTGTTTGTAATGAAGTTACAGCGTCGAAAAGAATTATAAAGAGCTGTAAACAATATTGAGGAGAATAATCAGAAAAACAGACTGAATCTACCACTTACCGAATTGATTATAAATTGGAGATGCTCGAAAATTCCATTGCCGTCGTACACGGAATATCGCCCTTCCGCGGGAGGGTACTGCAAAGCGTCTCGATCGTCATTCCACTCCTAAATCACAGCAACACTTTATGTGCTAGGACAAACAACAACAGTGCTGGTATTTGTCAAAAATACAAGCGTAGAATTTACTCAGACTGATTTAACTGTATGACTCTGTATCAACAAATAATGAAGAAAAAACATTTCGATAAGACTAAATAAAATTAACAAAAGATATCGAGAGCGAAAAATTGGCAATAACTCTGCACGCAGATATACGAATGAATATACTTCGAAGCATTCACAACATAGAAGTAAGGAACAGCAAAGATTAAATGAAATCATCACAGACTTACCTTGAGAAACTTATGTCGCATGACAGTATTTGTGTCTTCCATGAAGTCCACATGAGACATTCTCATCTCCGCAAAAAGTATCAGTTGCAAAGTTACAAAGATAATTTTGAGGACTTGTAGAGCCAATTTGTAGGGAAATTGATGCCGTACCTGAAAATGTGATGAGTAAGATACAGAATAATTTTTAAATCAGTATAGGGTTTGGAGATATTAAAAATAACACGAAGTTAAATTTTGAAAAACGATGCTGACACGACAACAGATAGTAGTACTGATATCCTATAACATTCATTTTCTTTTCTATCTATGCTGTCTTATTTTGTCATTTTGACTATCAAATACCCGTTGTTGAAACATAAATCAAATTTTGAGATCACCTTCCACTTTTCGAGAGGGTTCATGAAAAAGAATTGTAGATGTCGCCGTAATCTTTCTCCGATATCACGATCATTGTCATTCATAGCATCCATCATCTCCGTAAAGTTTATTGTTGGTCCATTCTCAAACCTCAATACGGGATATGTATTAGGTTGTCCCAAAAGTTCTTGCGCCGGAATTTCAAAAAATCATAACTTCCTATCTTCTCAACGATTTTTCTCAAGATTATTTTTGTATGAAAGAGGAATCCTTTTTCTTTATAGCGGTGTCTTTGGCATGAAGTAGCATTGGTAAGTTCGAGAGTTAAAAGCCATTGAAGCAAATTAGTCAATATCGACATTTTTCAAGCTGGATCACGAAAAATTCTGCAAGTATTTTTATTTAATAGAGAAAATTTTGCACATTATAGTGGTACCTTTTTCATGAATTAAAACGAAAAAGATCGAGAGTTAGAAGCAAATAAAGAGAATTTTTCACTTTTGCAATTTTTGAGCATGCTTAAATAAGCTTGAATACCTCACAGAAAAGGCGAAAAAGTCACAAACATGGGTTTTGTGACCTTCCCTTTCTAGCTGAGCGAAAATTGCGCCAATCGGGAGCAATTTTGATTTTCGTGATTTATTCGGATTTTCGGGTCTACGTTTTTCATGAAAATCAAAATTGCTCTTTATTAGCTCGAAACTCACTCAGCTAGAAAGGGAAGGGTCACAAAACCCATGTTTATGACTTTTTCGCCTTTTCTGTGAGGTATTCAAGCTTTATTGAGCATGCTCAAAAATTGAAAAAGTGAAGAAATTCTCTTTATTTGCTTCTAACTCTCGATCTTTTTCGTTTTAATTCATGAAAAAGGTACCACTGTAATGTGCAAAATTCTCTATTAAATAAAAATACTTGCAGAATTTTTCGTGATCCAGCTTGAAAAATGTCGATTTTGACTAAATTCCTTCAATTGCTTTCAACTCTCGAACTTACCAATGCCGATTCATGGCAATTCAATTCATGGTACTCTCATAAAGAAAAAGGGTTCCACTTCATACAAAAATAATTTTGCGAAAAATCGTTGAGAAGAAAGGAAGTTATGATTTTTTTGAAAATCCGGCGCAAGAACTTTTAGGACAACCTAATATATACAGTGCAGAAAATACGGATTCACATAGAATAGCATACATAAGGGGAACTTACATTCGCTCAGACCCGTCTGTACTGGCCGCCGTTCCTCTACTCCTTCGTGACATCTGAATTTACTGACTGAATGAGATTACAAGACAACAGAACGATGTATAATTTTATATTCACTTTTCTCAAAGAAAAGCCATACACTGGTGTAGACAGATAATGAATAACGTCAGAGATGAATCACTCGAAAGTAGAGAGCGGGCCAGTCGCCCCAAAAACCTGTTTTGAAGCAAATTACGAACGAAGTACGCAAATTTGCGAGTCGCACCACTCCAGGAAGAACCGAGGTGGCGATTAGATAATGGAAGACTGTCACTGAATTCGCTGCTTGCGGGCTGCTTAAGTATTATCGCCTTATTTTGTCAGGCGACAAAAACAAAGAAATGACAGATCACCTGGCACATAGTATACCGAGACCAAAGATAACCTTAGGTCGATTTACTAAAGCGTCTTGCTAGCTCAGGCCCATGTTTTGTCCTCTCGTTTCCGCGACGGCTCACCAAAAGGGAGGGCCCTTGCGCGCTCTTTAGGGCCCCCTACAGAAAGGTGTGTCATATATCTCCCAGTGTGCAGTGACATAACTGGGGGAGGAGGAAGGGAGGTTGCTATGTCACCATACCAGAATCCCACAACCCTTAGGTTTACCTGACACTACCTTCAATACTGGAGTCAATTACCTCATTCCAGGTTTTCGCTCGAGATTAAAAAAACAACCACGAGCGAGCAGGCAAGTCTATAGGCCATTTATCGCGAGCAGAGACAGGTCGCGTTGCGGGTCTTGGCGTTTCTTAGACCGAACGCAGTTTCTCTTTCTACCGTCTGCTGCCACTCTCAAACACGCATTAACTCAATCGACGCTACGGATAAAGTCTCTTAGTCGATGAGTTGCCTATAGCCATCGTAAAAGTTCAAATACCACACCGATTTTGTTGCTATCAGAAAGGAAGATGAAGCACAAAATTACTTTGTGATTATGGATATGTGTATAACATATCCTAGTTCAATTTGATCCATTGTTCCACGAAGTAGTAGGATTGGGATGACAAAAGAGAGAGATGTAAAGGACAGAGAATTAAACTAGGACGCAGTCGAATGTGCCTGTTAGTCATCGGGGAAGGTTTTTGCGCCATCGACATTGCGTGCATGTGCAGCCCTGTCGTTTTGCATTGAATGGATTGAACTGCAAGTGCGAGTGCACATCAGATCTCTGCATTAATTGATGCCTACAGTCGAAACCCTATTTTCAAGTGTACAAGCAGCACCCATTTTGCTCTGAACGAGAGCAGAATAGGGTGCATCGCTGCGCATGTGCCCTGCGAGGCGGTCGCTCTTCCTTACTGTGTATTTCGGCAGTTAACAAACTCCCCCGATTCCTTTAGCGCGTTTGCCTCTAGAGTAAACAGGGCGGCTTGTACATGTGAAAATAAGGTTTTTGTGGTGAACCATACTGGAGAAGAAGGAGCGCTTCAATGAACATTTTCTTCCAAGTTATGGCATATCATTTTTTGTGGTCTGATAATGTCAATTTTCAATCACTGTAGGGTCATATAAATTTAATTTATCGCGCGCAGAGACTGGACGCCGCTGCGTTTGACTATAATAGTTCGCGCGTTGGAGAGACTGCAGACAGCAAGAGAAATGAAGATGCGCTCCATCAGCGAGACGTCGACAACATCCGTGGTGATACTGTCTTTGCGTGCAATGAACTATCTATAGTTCATTTCTAAAATCGTGACGACGGATACTGCGGACTTTGCGCCCATATGAGCATAAAACGCTCATCCAAGAAGGCATTACCTCAACATCAGCTCAGTCACCCAGTCTCTACACATTATCGTACGTAAGCAAAAAAACCTCTCAACTAGAGATGAAAACCAAGAAAATGCATTATTCCGGAAGTGGCGTGCGTGTCGCGCGATCGCGCCATCATCACGATTTTTCAAATGCCTTATATACATAATTGGCTCACTATCTAAAAATTCATTCGCTTCTCTACACATACTACATACAGTCGAGTAGATAATAGTGAATATAGTGCCCTTGCGATGCCGATATTGGGGAGGAGCGTCCCGCCGAAATGATGAGCTTTGGTATTTTACAGCGCTGCAATGACGGACTCCTCAACCAATCCATCAGTGAAGTCTGGAACGAAAAAGCGCGTCTGGAAAGCAGGAACCACCCGAAATTCTTCCGAACCCCGCCCCCTCGTTTAGGACTCCGCCCACTGACACGTATTATCGTGCGAATGTAGGCATAAAAAGCTTTGGAAAAGGCTCATTCTTTGCCATTTTTATGCGAAAGCCCAGATATGGGTTCACTGAAGACTGGAAACCGAAATTTTAGGGGACACTGCCTTTGATCTCGGCAACGCATATTTCCTATCAGTTCTATTTGCTGTATGTACATGCACACAATATGGCGAATCCGGAATCTTTAAACAGTGTGTAAGAAATGTGAATTTATACGATCATGCACTGGATAGAAAACACAAAACAACGACAAACGATATGATTTTTTTTTGGAAAGAGACATAGTGCAGAATACAAAATTATTGGTATCAGCCTAAAGAAGAAACCTTTATGCAAAATCACAAAGAGGCGCAAAGCTTTTTTTCATAAAAGCTAAAAATTTGAGAGGACCAACGAATATAACATCAAACAGGTCGGTTTTTTTTTACCTGGTCGTGAACACAACTTCGTGATCTGAACTATATACTTTGTTGGATTAGTAGTTTGATTTATTATGCACTTCGATTTCTTTTGATATCTATCTGTTACACTACAAGTGTCCCAAAAGGTGTGCACACTTTTTTGATCGTTAATAACTGTCTTACTTCAACATCTTCCGCTAACCTTACCGTATGGGACATATCACCGATCTCTCTTCGTAACTGTAAAATTATCATCGGCTCCACGATTCGTGTAGAGGCGGGATTTTGCCAACTCAAAGCGTGGCGGTTTCTGACAGCGAGAGAGTACAAAAACAATGCTATGACGTGGAAGTTTAACAAGTTTACCTGTTTATCAGGCAAAGTCTGCAATACACCTCTACACGAATCGTGGAGACGATCATACAGTGGGAACAGCTGACGGAACCAATGTGATGGCCGTCTGATAGAAATTGCTAAGATTTGGAAATAGGCATGTAATTTCACTACACAACTTATTACGAGCTTTTGATTGTTCTCAATGGTGCAATCGCATTTCTGATGAAAATTTGGAAGAACAGTTGTTACGGTATACCTGAATAAGCATTACAGTAAATGCAGTGCATTTTCAAATTTTGAAGTCTGCGACTTTAAAGAACCTATGAGAGTTCTGGCCTGTTCAGTTCTTTTTCTGAGGTAAACCATGGCTCAAGGCCTAAAATCCTCCTCGAGGTTCCTACAGTAATACAGAAAAGGGAAATGACCGGTTTTGCCCTATACGGTAAAATCTACGCTGAAACCAGCTTCTTCACAGAATGGTGCCTGATTCTCGGCGAAAAACTGAAACAAGAGAACATTAGCGACCAAACACTGTGCACTATCTTGGGACACCCTGTATAACATAAAATGTATTATATCATACCCATGGCAGCTAATCCATAGTTGTTATACTTTGTATTACTGCATTATAGAGTTGGGATAAATATGAGCAGATCAAAGGGAATATCTTCGCAAAGATTATCAGTGATGCAACTTTGAAAAACTTCAGACGTGTGACTTTGTGCTTCGGCTTATCAAGCCGTTTTATTAGTTCATATGTTGGACTGCTCCAAAACGCTTAGGCTGAGACAGCCGCATTTTTCTATCCACGTTTTGATGCATCATGCCACTCGATCGTAATCTATCGCGAGATTGCAACTACGGACGTCATTTTTGCCTGCACTTTTGCCAAACGCTAACCTCGCTTGGCTCGAAGTTGTCAAGTCACAGAAAGAACTCACTCGACGCTGCGATGGAGTTCGAATCTCGTTCATATACAACGAGGTGGGGCGATCCACATTCATTCTGTAATGGAAAGGTAATCAAACATACGATAAGAGAGGTTTTGCACTGATACTTCCGATGATGTACGGACATAGAAGATACAGCATTTTTTGGGTGCGAAGGAATGGTCACTGACCTTAGGAGTAAGACAACTTATTTCAGAGGTACGTTTACACATAATGTATTTAAATATTGGAGCAGTACGACCACATTGTTTACGCTTTAACGCCGTAAACAATGTGGTCGTACTGCTCCAATATTTCTGATTGCATTTTGTGTAAATCTTATATGTAAAGCTGAATGTCTGTTTGTATGCCTGTCTGTGTGTACGTATGTTCCGAATAGAAAATTCCATATCTGAACCGATCCGGACCAAACTTTGCACACATACACTTCGGTGCCGGGCGGGTGTCATAGGCTACTTCTCGTCATCGATCGATATCGATTCTATTGATTTTTAAAAAAGTTCGAGCTACGGGGCTGGCAGTTGGCACAGGGGGGGGGGTACGTGAGCATGCTGATTACGAATATATTACTGACAGGGCCGGGCGGAGCCGGGTTTGCCAGCTAGTTCCTAATATTATTTAACACTACCATAATGCTGGATACGATACCACCCGTGAGAAAACCGCGGCGGCTACCGCCGTTTCTTCTTCGGAATTACGGGTGACATTGTATTTACTCGGAAAATACATGTAAAACTCCAAAGATATTTACCCTATTTCACGCGTACAAGGCGCACCTTCTTCGATTTTTCAATCAAGCCCCTCAGCCGCTCCAAAGTATTTCGGAAAGCGATCACTATGCCGTACGATTCTCTTAAGCATTGTACAGCACGGCATAGGGTCCTGTGGTTGCAAAGTTCTTTGGCGTATTTGGGGTAGTTAATTTTGGAAAAAAATCTCCCGCCCTTGTACGCGTGAAATTAGCAATCGTTCCGCCTCCTTTTCAGAGTTCATGGAACCGATCTTACTGCTCAAACGAGTCGTAGCCCCCAACTCCGTACGACAACAGCTATATGCATGACTCTTTCGGAAAATGAGCAAAGCGAGCTCGCAACATTTTTGTAGCCCTTTCAGCTCACTGTTTGGTTTTGGCTTCATACATAGGTAAATTAGGAATAAACAGCCTTTAACAAGCTTTCTAATCTAAGCTTTCTAATCTCCACCTCCAAAATGATTGTGAGCAATTTTTGGAATGAGTCACTTTCTTTGCAAGGAGTTTGAAAGATAATGTTAGAAATTAGTGAAACGCGAGCTTTTTGATTGAAACCATCTCAAGAGGTGCACAGCTGCAGACAACGTTACAATACCGTCAAATTGGGATTCAGAATGAATTTTTGCAGTGAAGTTCGCATTTTTACCCTTTGTTGAAAGCATAGCAAAAGTTTTATGTGTTGTTGACTCATTTACATGACGGCGCAATGCTTCCTTCATCAACTTTTTGTAATAGGGGCAAGATAGTCGATAGGAATAGCATGCCCCTTCCTCAAATTGGTCCATGGACGGAAAAGATCGCACTTCTTTACTCGACAGATACAGATTACATAACTTCTTTACTCGATAAAGGTACAGATTACATGAGCTTGGAAAATCGCAAGATATCGTCACAACTTTTACAAGGAAGATCAGCAGCAACAATAGTGATTCCAGACAGGTAGCAAATATAGAAAAAGTTTAGTCAATGCTAAATACTCGCCCTTCCACGCTGCGATAAGCTTATGATAATTTTTTTGACGTCAGTGTATGCTGAATCAACATTATCGAGCGTAAACTGCGAAAGTCCAAACTAGAACCAGCGACAGTAACATTAGTGGACGAGACAGACATGTCCAGCGATTTTCAAAAAAGCACCTTTCAAGAGATACTTCTCACAACAAACAAAGCGGAAGATCCAAAACAACAACACCAAGCATATTTGACAGTTATGTAGCCATGCTGCTGTTGGGTCGAGAGGGAAGGCAATCGATCACTGTCTAAAAAAATAGTAACATGACAAATTAACCTGATTAGACATTGTGAGTGTGCAAGTGACTACAAATTAGAGAATAATTTCTTGTGGGTAGCAAAGAAGAATGAATTACGTACCAACAAAGAATGACCGTATGGTCAAAATTTGCGCCTCATGATATGCACGCCACAAACGTCGTGTAATATTCCAGTCTTCAATCTTACTCTATTTAAACTTCTCGCAAAAGAGAGGTGAATACTTGGAAAAAAATTATTGGTCATTTGTACCTTTTTCGAGCAACGCCTAGAATGTATTACATTGTAAAAAAAAAAGAGGCAATATTGGCTACATTCTTCCTTTGTCCTCACAAGAAAAAGTCACGAAGACAAAGTGTCCGATCGCTATAAACTGCATACCATTGGTGAGAGCTTAGAACGCTGAATCCGAATTTGCTTTTCGTTGGCCGAAAAATACGTTTTGTTTTTTTAGTCGACGTTATATGAGAGTTTTTTTTAGCGTTTATGGTAGCGTCAAAGGGAACTTCGTTCGCATTTTCGGAAAGCCGCCTCGTGCCGAGCGGTTACAGCCTTACTAGAAGCCAAACGGAGAATTTAAAAGTACTAATATACTAAGCAGAATAAGCTTTTTGAATGAAGTATCTTGACACTTGTCGCTGCTTCATTTAAGGTCTAGAGAAGCTGCAGCGATTGACTTCATCCCAGCTATTAGTTTATTATTCGACTCCGAAAAATGCTCGTAACTTCTTCTTCAGAGGAGTTCCGCAGATAGGGAGAGCAGATTTGGAATCAGTGCTGCAAGCTCTTACTGCTATTATGTAGTTTGTGGTGATCGGCCACTTCGACGTTGTGACCCTGCCTTGCCAGAAGATTTGGCAAACACAGAATAGATTCTTATTGCTCACAATGCCGCACACAAATTCACCTGACGCTATCACTACTGCCAGAAATTATTTATCATCCTAATTTTTCTAAAATTTCCTGTTTGTTAACGATGCCTAGGATAGGTGTATTACTTACTCTAGATGCATTTCAGCTCATACTAAAGTGTAAAATTGTGAAATACCATCAAGCAAACTGGGATTCCCTTTGTCAACCAAAGATGAAGTCTGCCCCTACTAAAAAGACTCTGTTATTAGTTCACAGCTTCATGATTAAATTCACTGATGCAATTCACATAGATAATAATCACACAAAATCTCACCGCCACAAGTGATTCAAGTTTTTCCTCTGTCTTTATTCGCTCTTCGCTTTCTTCGACAATGAGCTGAATCTGCAATGAATGTTGATTGAGTGGTATACGATTATGAAGCCATTGTAATTTCCATAACCTGCGATCATTTCGTGGCTCTTTTTGAAAAAAAAAAGTTTCCAATAAGCGTATCTCAACTTTTTACAGAAATCGGACGGTACTACACAAGAATTACGATGTCCTAGAAAATGAGTGGTACTGATAGTGTACATGTAACAGCACAGCAGTGGCGCTCGCAGGATTTTCGTCCGGGGGAGGGGGAGGGGGAGCGAAAAAATTTCCAAGTGAAGGTGCGTAGCGTTAGCCACGCGCTCGGAAAAAAAAAATTTTGGGGCTCTTCTCAAAATTGTTATGGGTCCATAACCCCTTAAACACTAGAAAAGGGCGCGTGCCTGCCGCCACGCCCCCGAAAGAATTCTTTTTACAAGGCTAATATGAGTTTTTCAAGAAAGAATTTTTAATTGTTTACAAGAATAAACACGCCACTTGCACATTTTTATAACTCATGTGAGTAGACGTGTAGGTATTGTACCAAGAACAAACTTCAATGTTAATAAATGTTGCGTGACAATTGTAAGAATAAGTAAATTATGATCAATATTATCTTGAAAACATTAATTATGCGCTACCTAGGTCAGAGACGTTTCGATATTTACAGCACAGCTTGCTGTATACCAGGCTCTTGAGCTTTTTTGATTGCTTAAGCAAATACGGGAGGAAGCTCGAATGACGCGAACAATCCGAAAAAATCGGCTCTACTTCGAACGTTGAAACAGAAATGGGTAGGATGGGATTCTACCTATTTCGCAGGGCAACCCCCTATTTTTATGAAGCTTTTGCCTCTTTTTTTTTGAAATATACGTGTGGTCCAAACTCCACTGAACAGTTTTTTTGACTTTGTTCTCCCCGTTGGCACTCTTCACACTGCTTAGCGTCTCAGCCCTTTTCGAGCGATAAGATCCGTGCATGATATGGCAATTGTAAGCACAGAATACCTGCCACCAACGCTTGATGTATCCGATACAAGAGCGGTGAAGTATAGCAGCATATAACTATCCCATGGAACGATCATACGCAGCGATATTTGTGGCCAAGTGGTGGGTAAAGTGAGGATTACAACACTGATGTATCATGGAGAAAGTACTCGTACCTCAGCTGCAGTGGTCGGCCGAAGATTGATCAACTGCATCGTCTCTGCAGCCGTTAACTAAACATTCCTCATGGTCATGACTACCAAACAAAAACTCTAACCTTACCTTATATGGTGCAACAGCACGAATCAATTTTTCAATGACTTCTGGGTTTTGTTCTTGTGCGGGTGTGGTCTTCAGATATTTCGAAGTCTAGAACGATCCTGACCTATTGAATGGACTCAAAAATGTTTACTACAGGATGTCCCAGAAGTATGTATGCACTGTTTGATCTTTGATATCTCTTTACCCAAGCAGTTTTTTGCCTACCCCCAACTACCATATTGTAGAGCTGGCTTCAACTTAGATTTATAGTATGTAGCGAACCACCAATCTCTATTCTTTACTGTAAAATTACGGTAGGAACCTTGAGGAGGGTAATGAGTTACTAAAAGCCATAACTTATTCCTATCACTAGGTTAGTCAGAGTTGTTGATTTCAAATATTAAATTCGCACTTCACCGCAGTTCTTTTTACGAGTTCTGCCAGAAATACCGCCCGTAATAACAGATTTCCGATGTTCCTCAAAAATAAGTACACCGTCTAAAAAGCTCTGTAAACTCGTGAGTTGTCGAGTAAAATGAGAGTACGTGAAAACCTTGTTAGACAATCTTCTATATTTTGGAAATCTTATTACAAACGGCTTTCCCAAAGTGGCGTCATTTGCTGCGAATTCCTGTGGTAGTCTTACAGTAATGAAAAGCTATCGGTAATTGGCTCCTCACTGAAAATCTCAGCTGAAACCAGATCTACAAAATGCTACCTAAAAATAGGCAAAAGATTTCTTGGAAAGGGAGATATGAACGATCAGACGGTATATACATACCGGGACACCTTGTACCATAATGCTACCTCATAGAGAATGGTGGACAAGTGTTTGCTTCTGTCGTTTTTGGCTTTCTTATCCTCTTGTTTCTTCGACTCATTGACAAGCCGTAGAACTTCGTAATTGGTCAAGAGCGTTAGCTGCTTATTTAATACCTCCATTCTTAAACTCTAAAATAGCCACAATCAAGCTCATTTTTTTCTATTAAACAAGAAGCAGGAAAGTTGCCGAAACTTCTGAACGAACAGATCTTAATGTCTAGAAACAATACAAGCAATTCATCTCTTTACAGTGCTGAATGTTAAAGGCAGCGGCTCGGCGGAACTTTGGGATATTCATCGTTCTCGGTTCCCCGGATGAGCTAACAAGGGAAGGATACCAACATTAGTCGGCGATTGAAGGTGAGATATACATCAGTAGATGCGCCTTTAAACGCTGATTTCAAATCTGTTTTCCTTTTTTGCGGAACAAGTTTTCGAAAGACGTTATGAGCGTTTGAATGTTCAAATCTGCCAAGGTTTTGGTGGCCTAAATTTGGCGAAAAGCTACGCAAAAACATCGGAAAGTGGAAAATCAGTTTTGTATCGAGTATATTGTTTGCAAGGAAGGAACAAAGCCGGTGGAAATTGCACAGGTATTGTTTTAGAGCTTTTAGTTGATCAGCCACTCAATGCTTGGCAAATTTGGACATTCAAACGCTCATTACTTCTTTTGGAAACCTATTCCGCAAAAAGGAAAGCAGATTAGAATCAGCGTTCAAAGACGCATTAAAGGATATACATCCCATCTGCAATTGACGACTAATGTTGGTATCCTTCCCTTATAAGTCCAAGACTGTGCTTTGCAGCTTCAAAAGATATCAATAACCCGCTTTCCCAGACATGAAAATTGCTGTTTGGGCGGACAGCGTATGCCTGCCCTCTCGAGCGCGATTGGCTCGTGAGCGGAGACACCTTACCTATCGTACCCACGCGCCAATCGCGCTCTAGAGGGCAGGCATACGCGATTCGTCCAAATAGCACTTCTCACGTCTGGAAAAACGCGTTATTGATATCTTTTGAAACTGCAAAGCACAGTCTTAGACTTAGCTATCCAGGGAAACCGAGAGCGATGAATATCCCAAAGCTGTCATTCTGCCGAGCCGCTGCTTTTAAGCCCAGGTCTCTGAAAATCGTGGTGGTAGCATCACCCGCAGTTCTCAATACTGACGTCGACCTCGTGATTTACTTTTCACATACTGCTAAATGTACGGGCATACCTAGGTGATTTTTGATGATACTGAGCTCGGCCAGCTCAAAGCTCAACTTCGTGCAGCAGATAGCCAATTCAACACGATACACAAAGGTGGTACATATACATTCGTGTTCAAAAAAGTCGTTACAATGAGTACTCAAAATTGGAACTTGGAAACTAGAGTCGATAGTCTCAGCCGGATGCTCGCAAGAAATATAGAGCCTTGCTGACACCTCTCCATACGACAATGTAAGCTCTCCCCACGAAGCTCCGCTTTGGACAAGTGATGCTGAAAACTTCTGTGTACTTCAATGCTGAGACTGACTCTCTGCGAAAAAAACTCAAAAATAATCGCATGAAGCTGAAATGCTAAAATGGAAAGGAAAAAGAGAGTAGTCAGAAAGATGGAAATTAAGAATCAGAAAACATAAGAACTTAATCAGATATGATTCACTCTCTCAGACAGTCGAAGGGATACTTCCGGCGGGCAAATGGCGCGAATCTGCCACTTCGCGCTCTGGAGTGCTCCTGAGCCCTGCCATTTCACCCGTTTTGGTGCTCCGGGGCTCTCTCAAATGTGGCGCACCCAGAGCCTGCTTGTGACGTCACGGTGAACGAATGGGACCCCTCTCTGGGGCGCGCAAATCTCTCGGGAGGTGCGCCACATTTGGGAGAGCCCCGGGGCACCAAAATTGGTGAAATGGCGGGACTCCGGAGCGCTCCAGAGCGCGAGTGGCGGACTCGCGACATTTGCCCGCCGGAGGTATCCGCTCGACTGTCTGAGCTCGACCAGATGTGCTTTGAACGGCATATTTCATATTTTATGCGACTCCAGCGCGAACTGCGGACTATTGCGCTTCTCTCAAAAAGGTGTGGTCCACTTCCCCTGTAGTGGAATTGCGAAAACGAGATATATTCTTCTTCTATTTCATTTATGCTCAATCATGAATTTTTCTGGAAAACCCTCCCCCCCCCCCTCCCCCCGCCCCCTCCAAATCCGAGCACCCAAAGTAAATTCGAAGCGAATCACTTTCAAAAGGTAATTCTCTTTTCTGACGACTCTCTTTCTTCCTTTGCTGTTTTATCGAACTTCTAAGTTCGTACGGTCATATCTACTATGTTTATGGCAAAAAGCCAGTCTCAAGGGCTTGAGGTACCGTAGGGTTTCCAGCATTTCTTAACCTAGAAACAGAGCTCCATGGGGAGGAGCGCATACTGTCGTTTTTAGAAAGCCTTCAAGATAGCGCGTCCAAACGTCCTGCGCATAAGCTCTAATTAATCCCAATCAAACCATCGTAGATAAGACAGTATCGAAGAGCACATCCGCACAACATTAAGATATTTCCCATGTGTCAGACTGCAGAGAGATTTTCTACCACTTATCATTCATGTCTTGAAACTGAAAAACGTGGTTAGTTTCGTAGATGATAGCGGTATTAGGCCCTGGCCAGACTTCGCTTAAAAGCGCCCAAAAGCGCTCAAAAGCGCCCAAATTTCTTTGCTGTCTCTTCACTTTCTCGTGTGAGGAGGCATGAGAGAGAGTGAGGAGAGGTTAGAGAAGTTTGGGCGCTTTTGAGCGCTTTTGAGCGAAGTCTTGCCAGGGCCTTGAAAACGCAATTTTCCCTTTGAGACTGAGTTCGCATATGGAACGCTTGTAACTCATAAATTGAGCGAAGTTAGAGATATGCATGCTTAGAAACATTTTCGCAACTATAACTACCTCTGACATATTCACTTGCATTCAACAGTATGACAGCCTAAGAATTCGAGCACATGCCAAACGGCGATGCGTAACCGGGAATGTCAACAATTCCATTAACAAAATCTTTCAAATGTAACGACGGTCTACAACGAAATGAAAATGAACAACACGTGACTAAATCCCGAAACAAGCCGGACGCTGGTGACTGCGGTAGCTGAACAACTTGCAGAGTCACGCTTGAGTGTTAACAGAGCGCTCCCCACAACGTGCGAATTACACATCTACGAAAAGTGAAAGATGGAATGTGAGAACGGCGTGGGTAAGCTAACAATTCAACAACAATTGAATTTTCTCCGAGAATCTTCAGAACATTTGATCAGAACGACAAAGTAAATAACTGGCGGCAAGCCTGGAAGTGTATAATCTGCATAGAACTGTGAGTTATAAACTGTAGATGAAACGTTCAACACGGTTATAGACTACAACGGTATGAAAATGCGAAACTTGAGCGAATGACAAAGTTAGGTCGCCAACCTGTTTACAATCGTGCTAATCGAAACATTATAACTATGCACAACTAAACAACATCCTAACTAGTAATCCCTTGTAAAACATTATTGCATCTAGAATATGTACAGATTACAAAGTGGTTTCGAAGTACAAAAATTCATATCGAACCTTCCAGCACATCAAAGATATGATTTACCGTCGAGAAAAGGCGTGATCCAACAGCACCAGTAATCAGATTTTGGGAGAAACATTCCATGCGATTCATTCCCACTCCGTGGTTCCCGGAGGCTTACTGGTTAGATCAATCATGACCCTCGATGTGCTCTTCACATGCGTTACGATTCGATGGACCATTTCATAAACACTCTGCAAAATGCATGTTAACAGGGATTTTGTAAAGTTGTTTCTTTGTCCTACAAATGCACCGAACATGACTATAAAAAATTGTGACTAATACAAAATTCCATTGATCCATACCTTTTCAGGGATATCTCTTCCTGGTAAAGCTGCAAGTCCCGTCATGAAATCAGAAGTGATAAATGGTCGTAATACAAAGGAACGCTTGTATGAGTTGACTTCGTTGGGGAGGCGATCAAAATGAATGGGGACCATCACAACAGGCATCTAAAAAGTAACGTTCTTTCTACAGCCAGCATAAAATTCTAGTATGAGAATCTGAGCAGCTCACCTGCTGCACCTTTTTCGTTAGATCCTCCAGATCTGGATCTCGACTGCCATTGATTTTTCTACCATGCAATACCTCAGTTGCTAGGTGATCTGCCTGGAAAGCAAACCCATCTATAATGTGTAGCAAATAACCCATCTATAATGTGTAGCAAATGAGTCGCAAGTAGACACTAATGTACCTACTACAACCTCCTGTGACTACAAAGAAGACTCTCACCTCTTGCAAGGTTCTTACAGTGAAGGCATTCAGGTAAGTCGGTGTGATTGTTGTTATAGGATACAATACAGGATCACCGAACACGTAAACGACTCTGAATTTGAGATAAGTTTGATGAAAAATAAAAGCAGTGAAAGTCGTGAAATATAACGAAGTTAGCCCAGGCGCAAGTGCAGAGAACCCTCTATAACAAAGAACTTGCCTGTTGATATTGTGCAGAACTTTCGGAATGATGTTTGCGTACCGCGAAAGCAATTGCCAAGGGACCGGACTTTCATCACAAGATAATGCTGCTACGTAAGAGTAGGAACTAGAAATAGAACATGAAATGCCGAAGCATAGTACTAATGAGTTTGATTACCGCCGATCCCCCTGCACACCAACACTCTTGATTGGAAGCAAGGTGGCATGGATAGTAAAAGATTGTGACATGAGTTCTGTGATCTCCCATCCCGCCATAGCCTCTAGCATCTAAAAAAATGACTGCATCCAGCACAGCTTATCTCATACAATATCTCCTCACTTTTTCTTTGAACTCGTTCTCTGCAGGTGTAGCAGGCTGACGTGACAGATTTGTGAGCACATTCAAGCACTGATGTGTGGTGGCAAAGTCGTTACAAATATGTGGCTTCTAAAAGCACGGCGATGATAAGTGGTAGTCTACCCATCTCTATCTATGCCTAGTCATTCAATAAGGACGTTTCTAGAAACAGTCGTTCGAATCGCATTCCATATCAACATGAAAGTTGCTGCTCTGCATTCAAACTGCAGTCGTAATGAAAAAACTTTTCAGGTACCTACACTTAATACACCTACCCCTCATCTAATCTTGCCCACAAACTGAACCCTAACCAACAGGCAAAAACGGGCGCTAACCCTGATCAACAAGCAAAAGGGTGCTATCCAACTTGTTCTTGAGCAACTAAGCAGAAATCGCTGCTTCGCTTGGGCAGTCTTACATAGAAGATTTCTATAAACTCTTCTAGCCACGCTATTAGTCCACGACGTGGACAGTCCCAGGGTGAATATGATCTTACGACCGAAGTTGAGGATAAGAAGGCTAACCTGTGCACATATTATCCGAATAGCCAGACCCGGCCCCGGAAATGGCTGCCTATTGACAATGTCTTCGGGAAGTCCGAGAGTTCGACCAAGTTCACGGACTTCATCCTTGTGAAAATCTTTCAGTGGTTCAATCACGCGACCCTAAATTTATTTAGATGATAGATTACACTTACAAATCACTGCCATGCCAAAAGCACTGTAAAGGTTATTTAATCAGATGCAGAGTAAGTATAAGAACCTCAGAAGAAACCTAAACGGGCAATAAACTTACTAAAGATCGAAGCTCCCTAACGAGAATAGTATCATTATGATGAGTTTTGATCGTATCTGCATGTCCGCTAGCAAGTTCGCTGGCGCTCTCAATCAAATCCGGCCTAAGAGTGCCTTGAGCAAGGAAATAGTCCTCCTTCTTTAACTTTAACTGAAAATAGAAAATTCAAAAACTCCTTCACTTTTGCAAGAAAACGTACCTCCTCCATAACTCGATCTTTAACCCGGATAAATGTATTCCCAATAATATGTCGTTTTGTCTCTGGATCTACAGTTCTGTCCAGCGTATCAGCATCACCAGTCTTACCAGAGACAGTACCCACCATAAATGTCAAACCAGCATATTCTCCTAAACTTCCGACAATGAAATTATATAAGCCAAAAATATTGCAGGTTGCGTTACAACTGACTATGAACAGGGAGATCAATTGCTTTGAGGCTTTTAATCACATAATCGCTTTCGTCCTTCCTCATGAAACCATTATCTATATGTATGGCAGTGACATGCTGCGGTCCAAGGGCTCGATTTAAGAGTGCTGCGCATACGGAAGAATCAACCCCACCAGATACAAGAACCTGAAACATTCACCTTCTTGAATCAAGAGCGAACACACATAAGCATGAGTAAGGTAAGATGACTATTAGGTGGAAATAAATCCTTGCACCAAAGGTCAAGACAGCAATGTGTCATAATTCTCCTGTATTCTAGGCAACGATGTTAAAAAAAATTTTACGTGAGGATAGGAGCAAAGAATTCTCTCGAGTGCACGTGTCGATTCTTTTCGCATTTTTTTCCAAAACTGCTTGCTCATAACCCCAAAATCATAAAGAAATGGTCAGCAACCACGTCCTAGAAATTATATAGCTAACTAGACTTTTTAGAAATAGAAAATACTTTTGTTTTCAAAATGAAAGATTTATCATTTGCACAGATTTTAACTCATGTAAGTGACTGCAAAGAATCGCGACCCTTCTTGGAAGAGGGCACCCCCCGCTCCTCGTCCCGATATTGTATCCTAAATAGATTCTGGAGTATGACTCGATGGAGCACAGTAAACTCTAATAGAGAGTGCTCAGAAGCTTGCAAAAACTTCAGGCGAAGTTTCAAGCCAAAACTGAGACAGTCTTCGCATCAGATATATTAGGCTGTTGCAAAAATAATGTCCGGTTCTCTACACCTATACTCCAGACAACTTTTTTCCATCAAACTTTCTTTTTCGATACAGACTCTGTATATTATTGGAAAGCTCTCTTCATGTACTTTTTAAGGGTGGTGGAATTGAGCTTCTATCTTCATCTGTGAGAATTTCACCAGCATTTTGCACATCCGCACTCAAAATCAAAATCTCATAGCTTTCGCTTTCTTGACCACAATTCAGAAGCAAATATAAACGAGATCTTCTGTAAACATAGCAATTGCATTGGATGAAGATTGTTTACCGACTGCATACGCGCATACGTAGTTTTTTGGAGATATACATATGGGCTGAGAAACTGACACTTCAAAATGAATACTCGCTGCTGATATTTTATGGGTCAAAAATTGCTCATAATCAAAGGCAGCGTCCAGGCAGATCTGGACCTATGGGAATTTTACGTGGAAAGTACTTTTGGGGTCCTAACTAAGGCACTGCTCTAGCGGCAGTGCAGATGACGCACTAATGGCTGAGATATTCCCCTCAAAACTGGACCCCGCGATCGTATTCGCATTGATTCATGGCAGTTTTGCCCCAGGATCCACGCTTTGCGCCATGAATCCATGCGAAATACGATCGCGGGGTGTAGTTTCGAGGGGAATATCTCAGCCGTTAGAGCACTACCTGAGCTGCCGGTTGGGCAGTGGCTTAGTTAGGGTCCCAAAATTACTATTCACGTGAGATCTTCATTTGTCCAGAATTGCCTGGACGCTGCCTTTAAGGCAATCGCCAAAGCTTGGCCCATTTCCGTAAGCTTAAGATTAGCACACCTCAACTACAATATTTGAAGAGAAACACAGCTATTCAGTGCGCGAAGAATTCCAAATTTTCATAATTTGGACTTACAAGCTTACAAACAAATAGGCTCAAAAAAGTGAACATTTTTGAACTTTTATCTTTTCTTTTCGCGGAACTCCTTCGTTGGAGTCTTTTCTGTCCCCACGTACACTACTGGACTGCGGCTATAAAATAAGCTGATTGCCAGCAATAGGAACAAAACTTGAAGGAAGTTGTAAGCTCTTAAAGACAAGGTTTTTGAAAGAAAAACTTTCAGGTTTTTGATGCATAGTTTTCTTCCCGTTGGCGATATCAGTATGAGCAGGTGCTCGCTAAGTTGCGAAAGGTTAAGTGTTTGTGAAGGTCCTAGCTTTCTTGAAAATATGAAGACTAGGCGAAGTTATAGCCTTTCAAAGTGAAAGTTTGCAAAACGGACATTACTTTTGCAACAACCTAATACTTTACCTCAACAAGAAAAGAGGAGACAAGAACTATTCTGCTTTTCCCATAAAAGCTGGGCTATGTATATATACTGACAAATGTATACTACAAGCTTTCAAAAGTATAAGCATGATTTTTTAGCCCTCAACAACAGCTAAACTTCGAGAAATAATCTATTTAGCTCCTCTTATTAAAGGCAGCGGACATTCAAAATGGACCCCTGTCAGATTTTGGTAGTTTCGGGTAGTGGACCCCCCAAGTACACCGTAGCCCCAACCCCACATTCCAATTCATGCGCTAAGTCCTGAAAAAAGCGCTTCAAAACTCCACCAGCCCCGCCCACTTGCATTGAGTGGGCGTTATTGGTGGAAGTTTGAAGCGCTTTTTTCAGGACTTAGCGCATCAATTGGAAGTTGGGGTTAGAGCTACGGTGTACTTGGGGGGTCCACTACCCGAAACTACCAAAATCTGACAGGGGTCCATTTTGCCTGTCCACTGTCTTTAAGGTTCGGCCACGATATTTTTCGGATACCAGCTATTGTAGAGGGCTAAAAATTCATGGTTGATTATTGAAAGCCTATAGTATACATTATTAGTGTGAAAACACCAGCGTTGCTTTGGTAAAAACATGAAATCTTTTCCCAGGTTCTACGAAAAAAACATACAGCAACTGTATATATCCCGATGTGAAATGTATATGCAGCAACTAGTTAGAATTTTCGCAAATTTTCTTTGAACTCGGAATTCTCTCGACTTTTTAGGTGCTTGGTCCTTTTATTCGAACTTCGCATGAATGAAACATGAACACAGCAACAGCTCAAACATTACTTACTGCGGTTTGGACCTAATTTGTTCCAGTCTGATATAAAACAGTATTCAAATAGCAAAAATGAAAAGCTCAATTCTTCAAACGAATTTCGAACCCTGATATAATGCATGTCACGTCGGTTGCAGGTGAAGTTGCAGCAGTGCAGAACACGGTAAAAAGTTTTGGCAAAATACTCCGCAAAATAAGATATTCATTTCCGCGCCCCAATTTCTTATTGCGAAGATGAAGATATTGATGAAGAAAACTCACAAGCATCTACAACACTTTCAGACTTGTACTCATCCGAGATATGTAAGTAGTGATTGCTCCGATGTCTGTATTCTAGAGAATCAAACCAAAGTAGTACAGACGACGCCCATGACATGTTTATATTAGGTCGTTCCGAAAGTAATGTCGCTTTTTTCAAATGAACGCCACATTTCATGGAATCAAGGTTTTCAAGTGATCTTAGGAGCATTCAATGCAGCATTTCATCCACTTCTTAATGATTGTAATATCGTTGCATAATATTCGATGAGCTCTGGAAAAATTACCAAAATCTGCGACCCATGCTTTTTGCCATGGTCAAGTTCGGCTATTTTCTAAATTTTTGTATCTATTCTCTGAAGAAGTACAAGGAACTGATATATAGAGCAAACCCTATAGGATATAAAGTATGTTTTCCTTTCCTTAACTTGCTTCTTAGAGTTTCTGGAATCAATTTTTCAATGCTATCAAATTCCATATTTGGTCAACTCAAACCTCACAGAACAACAGCCGGCAAGCAACTCGGGTGTCATTCGAAGCAGCTTTTTTTCCTTTTCCTACCAGTTCTTTTTGTTTCTAATTCATCGAGTTTTCCGGGATGAAGTCATCATAATGTAGGTTTTCCAGGGCGCTCATTTGGTTTGTAAAATTAGTGTCAAACAATAATCCATCTTTGTAAGTTTAAAAATCCGAAGATTATTTATTGGTGTTTGATGCATTCGTGTCTGAGACGAGCCTGCTAAAATTCAGTGGTTCCATCAGAAAATCTATACAAAAATTATGACAGCTCTGGAAAGTAGAAAAAAGTTGTACTGTTTCCTGAAGGGTTTGCTCTATCCATCCACTGCTTGGGCTCCTTCCGAGGGTTGTAATAAAAATTCAGAAAAATTGTGAAAATTGGCCTTATTAAAAAGCATGGGTCGCAGATTTCGATAATTTTTCGAGAGGTTATCAAATTTTTTGCAGTGATTATATAACCATTAAGAGAATGAAATGCTGCATCAAATGCTACCAGAATGTCTTACATATCTTTGTTCCACGAGATGTGGCGTTAGTTAAAAGGGACATTACTTTCGGAATAACCTAATAGATTCCCGTGGAAAATGGCCATTGTGAATGTGTGCCACAGTAATATAAATGCGGACGAGTCATACGCTAGTCCATCAAGTCACTTCAGCTAATCCTTTACAAAAGTTGAACTGATATGAACTTGATCAGATATCCCGCGCAAAATCTCAAACCATTCTCAAGACAACTCATGCAAGTTTAAATTGTGATATCAGCAGAGATAAGAGCTTGAAGCATGCAGACCGACAATCTTGCAAGCATAGTCGAGATAGTGCACGGTGCAAGGTTGAAAGTACAGCTAACAAAGAGAGCAAAACGTACTAGTACTTTCTTGTCTCCAACAGTCTGTCGTATTTCATCGATACACATCTGCTCACGATTGGCCAATGTGTAACCTCCAGCGCAGCCCGCTATCCGAAATAGGAAATTCTCGAAGATTTTTCGACCATGGGTTGTCAAATCAACTTCAGGGTGAAACTGAACTCCATACAATCGTTTTTCGGAGTTGCATATTCCTGAACGAGATATGAGATATGCTACGATGGATAAAGAGTAAACAGAGAGCAGATAGCCGCACGAATACTACAAAGTCGTTTCCCTAAGAATGACAAAGAAATTCGAAAGTTTCTCGCATGTTTGAGTTAAGGCCTTACTATTCATGGAAAATGCATTAAATATCAGAGATCAACGAGCTTTCATACCTAGAGCAGTTTTTACATGAAAGAGTTTTTGCAACATCTCACTCGGAGAGTATTATGTTGTTACAAAAGTATATCAATTTTCAGATCATTTTTCCTCGTATTATTTCTCTTTATGTTAAGTACAGCAGTTTCATATCAAGTTTATGTCTCTTCTTGCCGGCACTACATTTTCCTGTTTTTGTTACCTCTTTCTCGTTTCATTAATTTCGATCCCTCTTAACTACCACAAAAATTTAAGTCACGGACAAATTGTTTACTCGAACAGCAAAATCGTAGCATAGAAATTTGCGGATACATTTTGCGGACTTCTCATTCATCGTGATAATGCGGCATGTAACTAAAGATATCTTGAAATGCGGAATTTTGGCCAAAACTTTTGGTGTTTCAAAGAATACAAAGGGAACCAAAGGCTATTTGAAATGTCGCTAGTTTAGAACTAGCGAGCCGTACAAAATGTTACCTGCGACATGCGAACCACTTCTTGCAATAATTTTGAATCCTGGGGCGATAGTGGCTTCAGTGACAGAATCTCCATGGGTTAGTAGTACCTGCAAGAATCATTTTCTAGGAGTTCAACCAGCAACACTTTCTTAAAATTCAAACCTCTTCTTTCTCACTGAGATCGTGGAACAGATCGCATGATGTATCCATTCGTATCGTGCACTGACCATCTTCTCTAACTTGGTGCTTTGCTACAGTACCACCATGACACTTGTTTATCAACTGCAATGTTCAACAGAGTCCATGTTTGATCTCGGTGCCTTGACATCATGTGATTGGTTTTATATCTCTTACTTAGCCGAAATCATGTTCGCTAACCCTCATAAACTAACAGGGAATGGTCAGAAGAAGAAGTGGCCAAACCAAACAGGCTGTATACCATTTGCTGCAGTATGAAACGCTGACTTCGAATCTGTCTTCCTTATCTGCTTATTGCTTCTGTGGACGAAGCTACAAGCAGTTTTATTGTGGAAAAATCTACATAAAAACTGTGAAATTGAGCACATTGTTGCAATTTCAACTCAGCTTCAGGCTTTGAGAGTATGAAGCAAGTTAGCTGCATGTTTTGGCATGTTTTGCCCAGCATCAAGCGAACGTGGCCAAATTCTCACTTTCACACATAACTTCTAAACAAAATTTTGGCCTTTATTGGCTTATAGCTTCGTCCAGAATAGCGATAAGCAGATAAAGAAGACATATTTAGAGTCAGCGCTTTATGCTGCATCTAACGGTATGCAACTTGTCTGGATTAGCCACTTCGATGGCTCTGACCATTCCCTTGTAAGCCCAATGTTTCATTACTTTCGGAATCCTTTACAACCCCCTGCATTCGTGAAAAAGCAATCACATGGGCTCCCCACTGTTAGAGCACAGTGAAAGTTATTGAAGCTCAGAAAAGGGAAAAAAATAAAAGGCCTGCCTAACAAACATAATTCCAGCTCGGCAATGAAGAGATTCAAGGCCCAAAAGACAATATATCCGTTTAGTTGGTAACTCATACCTGAAATCCATAACAAATTCCTAGAACGGGCAAACCGCAATTGAATAACTCTTCATCTATCTGCGGGGCCCCCTCGGCATACACTGAGTTGGGTCCACCAGAAATGATTATGGCTCTGTAGAATGAAGCATCAGACGAATATATTAGCTTTGATGAACAAAAGCGGACTCACTTGAACTTCCCTCTGCTTATGATATCCTTTGCTTTAGTTTTCAAAGGAAACATTTCAGAAAGTACATTGGCTTCACGTACTCGACGATCGATGACCTAAACCGAACAAGGCCGTTCTTTGTTAAATTATCCCCGCACATAGAACTTATGTTCAAAAGGTATTATCCTAGAGACAGTAAAAGATTCACAGCAAATCCGCTCGCTTGTTGTAAACATCGGAAGACTATGGTAAGGAAACAGACGAAGGAACTCGAACTCAGTTAACAGTAGATATAACGATTTCTAGTACTTTGAATAACTGATGCGATAAGTGAGTAATGGATGATTGCTGATGCATTTGCATGGAAAGAATACACGGATACTTAAAAGATTACCTTGCCATACTGGGCGCCGAAGTCAAGCACAGCGACGCGCTCATAATCGTCGCGGTCATCAGGTTTTCCATTAATTCCCATTTTTTCAAATTTTTGAGTTCCGAGGTGATCAGAGTTCGACCGTTTGTTTGGAGGAGGCTAAATAAGACTGTTAAGAAGAGCTATTCTCTGCAAGATTAAGCTAGACGCGATAACTCCAACTAAGACCCTCTAGTAGAACTGTCCGCTAATAGTGTATTGACACTGGACATCAAGCAACAAATCAATGCTGGGACCGTGCAAATATGAGCTCCAGTGCCGAAGATATAGGGAAAGTAGCTAGATGACTGAAAGGGCAAAAGGGTTCTCAACACATATCGGCTGCACGGGCTGATTGCGGTGGCGATAGGTGGATGTTCGGATGCAAAGGAGAAGCCGATCGATTACGTGACAACTGTTCGCCTCTGACTTACGAGAGACAGTGTTGAGTCATGCTTATCATGACCATACTAAACTTAATCGATTCTGTTGTATGCATATTACGAATGAAACAAAGGTTCCAGATAACGTAATGGTATATCATCGATTCATGCATTTTCAGAAACAACGTTTCGCATTACACGCACCCATAAATTTATACAGCCGTGCAAAAGACATAAACTTCAAGCCTTCAAAATTAACTTGTACTGGAAGAAACTTCCGTGCTTGGAGTTACATCTAATACAGAAACAGCGTAAAAGCATCAAAACATTTTGCAAGTGAAAGTTAGCAAACTACTTGCATTTATTTTGTCTTCGTACAAGATTTTTGAAGTGTTGAGTTTAGAATATTGGCGAGAAAAAGTACGACGGCAAGAGTGGTTTGCAGTGTGAACACGGCATATAGCAAAAAGAGGACAGCGAACACAGAACATCCAATGAGAAATGCTGCGTTGGTGCTCAAGCACTGTTAACGCTGAATATCGCGTGCAAATATACTAAAGCGTTACAGCAGCAAAAATAGTGAGATTGGAAAAGTCTGATACAAATTCTGCTCTTGACATGATCATTTTCGACCGGTTACCACTCACTTTTACTTAACTAAGAACTTCGTTGTCTGGTGACCCTCTCCAAACTCTATCGAAATTAGACTCTTAACAAGCATGATGATGTGATATTTGCACATGGCATAGTGAGATTTCGAGCCAAGAAAAATGACTTTGCATCAATAGATTTCTAGAAACCACACACACCATGGAAGATCTCATATCAATGGATAAAGCAAAAAGGTAACACTTAGTGTAAAGTGGCAAAAATCTCTTCATATAAATCATAGACTGTGTGCAATGATTGGGCATAAAGAGTGTGAAGATAAAGCCATACTTCAAACCTGGTAAACTGACAAGAGCTTTGTAGAAAAGCGTCACAAATGGAGATGGTACTATTGCAGATCAGAAGAAAGTGAATCATCAGATCTACAAGGAACCGCGGAGCACACAAGCACCGAAATTGTCTCTGCGGGATATATTCCCAGGGAAGAGGAGACTATACTGAGAATCAATAGTTCTCACAATAAAACGATTATGGGAAGCTTAGACATCATTGAGTGTTGACGAGTAAGTTACATGAGTAAAAGAGGTGTTGACCATGCGATAACAAAAAACTTTATAAAGATAATTGAATCAAATTACTCCAGTTGCTCGAATTTGACTAGTACAACTTGAGCTTGTCTTTTTGCGTCTTTTTGAGGATGACGAAAATTACGAGGAGAGACGATGGAAGCTAGAAAACTTCTAAATGCACAAGTTCTGAGAGTAAGTGCATTAGTCGCCATAACTATGAGGAAAAAAGGAGTAAACTACTAGGACAGCATAAAAAGCAAGCATAAGTGATAATTAATTTCAACATCGACGAACCTGTGTGTGTCCGTTGGTGTTGTTTTTCGTTACTATGCGTTCTTCTCCGTTTTCTGAAGTACTCGCTCTCTTCATATCACTCAATCGACTTACAGCAGCTATCCTCGTACTACGCTGAAAGAAGTGGAACAAAATCATGGAAGCAGCAGAAAGGGAAGCACAGTTCTGTAACTTACATGTTTCTCTGATCTAAGAGAGTTGTTTTTACTCGTTTGCCCTCCAATTTTGATGACCGTGAAAAGCCAGTAAGAAAACAATCAGTTAACTACCTAAATTTGACATTGTATTAGAATGAGGCATAATTACAAAGAAAACATCGCTAACGACTCCACGTAGCTAAGAATACAGGCACCAAAATTTTGTAGTAGAAAAGCAACTCTGAAATGTACTACAACCAACGCAAAACTGCAGTTCAGGAGTAGCTGCTCTTGGTGTGCAGTTCTGCAGTTTATCAAAGAGACGAAGGTTCAAATACTTAGAAAGAACTTATGTTAAAAGCGTACAATGTGCCTTTAAAACGAACAAAACAAACTGGTAAACGTATAGCCACATTGGTCAGTTGCAAACGCTTGATTACTGTTCGAAACTTTTTCGGATAACCACAAATCGGCCGAATCAAGACAAATGGGATTCAAAAACCAAGCGAGTAAAACTTACACGAGCAAAACACATGCCCAAGCGGCGCGTGCTGCGCGCCGCTTCGCCAGTGCAAATAGAGCACACCAGTTGTTGAGTCGTGTAGTACCGACTGCTCTTTGTTGAAGTGCGGGTTTGGTCCCTTCTGAACAACCGAAGACATCACTGCTAGGGGACTTTTTACTACATCTGTCTAGGTCAAGAGTTCACAGGATTCACTGCAACAGTAATCCCTCAACTTCAAAAGGAAAGTTTGAAAGACTAGTTATATGAGGAGAGTCATATAGTGAACTCCCTCGATATCAATTATTAGTATTACGGTGGGCGTACGGCTGTGGCGACCCCAGACCTGTTCGGGGGGGGGGGGACGACAAAAGGTCTTCTTCGATCCATTTTCGCAATGCTTTTTAAAATTCTGCGGGCCCATAACCACAAATTTTAGAAAAAGGAGGGATGGCAGTCAGGGCTCGAAATTTTTGCAAAGCTATGATTTTGCAAAAATTTTTCTCTTCAAAGACAGGGTCAGGCAGCAAAAACGGCGGTAGCAAAGTCTCTCGCACCAACATTTCCACCACTCAGCATAGTATTCCACTCCATAGCCCCAGAACAATATCGAGGTAGTATCATGGCAGGACTGTATTCTTGTTATTTGCACTTGCACTTGGCTCCCTTCAAGCAACGCATCTGATTTGCACCAATGTTTAGGAAGTAGCATACATCGACTTACCTCGCGCCCATTGTCATGGGTCCACCTGTGAGCTTAAGATAGCTTACCTGGAAATTGCTCTGGACTTATGCTGACTAGATTTGCCCAAAACCTCCTATGAAATATGAGATGAGAAGTGGGGACTATCTATCACCGATTCCACATCCGTGTTGAGGCGCGTTGCGCACAAGTTCCTGTGAATGAGAGGCCCAGCAAGGAGTGAGCTAAGTTATCACTGGTCGCCGTGGACTCACAAGTGACCAGTGGCTTATTTGGCAACGACCACTGCGCTCGCGAAGCCACGGAAGTACCTCACCTATGGGCCGATCAAAGGGCTCGAAATAGCGCAAACAACCCTATCATTATACTTTGTCACTGCTGAGCTAACGCGCTCCAGATCATAAGAGCTATTCGCCTAGTCTTTTTTATGTTGTGCGGATTACCTGGACGGAATCAGGCGCATGGTCCGGCAGCGATAGCCTTCTGGAATTTTGCCAGCAGCTATCGATCGCCTTTGCAGCGACGGGTTTTCTGACAAAGCCTGCATCGTAAAACATCCTTCATTCAATGACTGTTTCCGCTTTTCAGAATTGCTGCTGTAAAGCTTGCATCTCAGTGGTGTTATAGATTGGTGGTTCTTCTAAACATTCAAGACCGCAGTTATTTTGCATTTTCATTGAAGGCTACATCAACACTCAATCGTTAAGATGTCGAGTAAGGTTTATGAGCCGACAAAAGTTTTCCTATGTTTTTGCGTAATGAAGCCGGTGATGTAGATAAATCTACTTAGAAGTTGCCGAGACCGTAGGATTGACTGTTTGGTTCCGGCTTTTTAAAATTGGAGAATTCCGGTGCATCATCATATTGTAATATGTTTAACTGCTTTATTGCCGTCATCGTGTGCTACTCGTCAGTCGAAATGCAGCACTTTATGCGATAGTCAGACGCATACCATGGATTCGTTTCTCTGCTCAGTTCCTCCAACAAAAATTTTCTGTCTTCAAATCAGTAAATGCGAAAAGTCAAGTAATAGCGTGAATTCTAGTGAGTAAGCTCGCAGTGGTGATGTCGCTCTAGAAGCTTATGAAAAGAATCCATCAAACAAAGCAGAACTTGTAACTTCCTCAAGATCTGCTCGAAACAATAAATTCATTGTTTTCGTACGATCAGCTATTTGTTTTCTTATAGTTGAGACTTTCAGAGAACGTTTTCAAAACCAAGCTGTAGTTTGATAGACAAGAACTCATATATAGCACTTGCACACGGCTTTCAATAAATATTGTTTGAACTGCTTGTGCCAGAAAATTCAGGATATGTCATTTCATTATGAGTTCAGGGTTCCTTTTCGTTCACTGCTGTCTACGCTAGTCGTCGAAATCAGGAATGGTAAGTGTCATTCATATTTTATCGGTGTAGGAAGCAGATACAGTATGGGATTGCTTGATATTGCAATGATATAAATGCAATGGTAATATCCACATTTTAGAGTGAACAACAACTGGATTGTGCCTTGGATCTGATGAGGCGCTTGCCTCCTCAACAATGCGAGAAGAACCTCATTGATCTTATTGACCTATGTCCAGGACTATGTGATGATTTACTAGGCAAGTGCACCTCTAATCTTTTCATTACCCTTTTGATTGACCTTTTGTTTCCTTTCTGCTTTCGATTTCAGTTTTACATTTGGTGACGATCTTATCAAATTCCTTTTATCATACTCTATCATACTCTATAATAAAGCGCAGGGGGGACCATGTGACTCATGCGTTTGTCGCTATGTCTCGAATGCACCCAATGCACCCAGGATGTCTGCCTTCCGAGATGTTGACTGGAATGCCCTTTCGTGCTCAACTCCATAAACAGTACTATCGATTAGCATTATTGTCACCAAGTAACAGCTCGCTTCATTTCAATTAGCGCATTAGGATGTGTCAACTTTGGTATCAATTTATTTTAGTTGCCAATTTCTATAACTTAATTGTACAAAAGCACTGCTTCACAAAGTTGTAAGTGGTGCAGCAGAAATCCCAGATGGGATTTACCCTCATGAAAGTTCTCGATTTTGATACACCAACAGCCGTATTTTTAGTATTTGTTTAACATTTCATATTGTGAGCAAAATAGTGGGATTCTGGCCGCATTGTAACTAAAGGGAGTGTGACAGGCTAGAAAGGCTTTCAAGGAAATGGGGGAAAATTGAAATATGGCAGATGAAGTTTCGTGAATGGAAGTTAAATCGTAAGCACTTACATAAAGAGTCTGAGGAAAGGAGGCGGGGTAGGATGGAATTTTACTTATTGACTTTGAGGTTAAGCGTAGAATTCTAATAGTAGAAGTCGAACTTTATTCGAAAACTTGGTAAAGGATGTTTGAGCTGTAGGTGCGATTTGAGAGGGAAGAAGAGGGAAATGCGGTCCCTCCTCATGAGGAATTACCGCAGGTGGAGCTTTTGGTAGAGTAGAATAGCCTGCACCTTAGCCAGCAAATTCTGTGTGGTACTGTATAAAAAGCTGAATTTTGGCGAAAAGCGTAGGCATACTTTCGATAAGCAACTCTAAGGTTACGCACTGTGATGGCAGCGTCAGCAGAAGGAGAACCCGAAAAGTAGGACAATAATTGCAGAAATGTTCAAAGAGTTTCTACTTAGAAAAAGTTTTAGAAGATAATAAGTTTTTCTTCTAGAAAACTCTATTGGAAACTGCTTAATTATTTCGTTCGTAACCTTCCCTCTCTATTCTCCGTAGGTAGGTAACTAATGGGGAGAGGCTGGGGACAGGGAAAGAGAAAAGCAAAATCCGCTCAAAACTTCAAACGCAGAATTTGCACACATGAAAGTGATATTTACGTTGTTCCGTACCAGTAGGGTGCGGGGAGCTGGGGAGAGGGGAGGAAGGGGGAGGGGGAGGGAGAGAGGAATGTACTTGGCATGAACAGAAAAACCTGGAGTGGAGTCAAGCAAGTTAGTGGCACGCTTCCGTAAAAGTTCTAGCATTGAGAGGATTTTGATGAAGCTAACAGCATGTGGCGTGCAGCTATTTGAGTCCAAGTCTGTTAAGGACTGTTGGAGTCTCTTATGAGCTAAAGAGCTAGGGGCTAACTTACCACTCTTCAGTGCTTTCTACTTAAAAATTTTGCGTGCTTAAAAGGCATTCTGCTACATGGGGTTTGTATTCTGTACCAGTAAGGTGCGGGGGGCTGGGAGGGGCGGGGAGGGGGGGGGGGGATGGGACGAGGGTAGGGGTGGGGAAGAGAGGGAGAGAAAGGTACTATGACACGGATATAAAAGCCCTGGAGTGGATTCAAGCATTTAGTGGCACTTAATCCGAGTTAAGAAGATTGTAGTGAAGCTAAGGTAGCAGTGGCATGGAGCTATTTGAGTTGTTGAAGAGTTAGAGAGCTAGAAAGTAACTGACTACTACTCTCTACACGTATATACCTAGAGTTTTTATGCTATACTTTTGGCTACGAAAAGATTTGAAGACAAAACTTCACAAGTTCTAGCCTTTGAACACTTCTCACTCCACAAGCACAGCCAGTTCAAAGCGCCGCGAAGCGGCGCTTTGAACTGGTCAAGAGATATTCTCTGTCCTCATGTTTGATATTTCGCACAGCCGTGGAAAGCCTCTGAAATCCTCTCACAACTGCTAAAGATCTCATCCTTTTGTTTATTTGAAAATAAGAGCGACCAGAAAGTCGTTATATCTAAGAACCCGCGTTATGAATGCGGTCACACTTGACAAAAAAACTCACACTTGACAAAAAACGATGGACCCTTTTATGGCATTTACTGATATTTTGAACGGCTTTTTGACACGAACTCCTTTCTCAGTTGCATGTTATTCTGTTTTATGCAAGGCTTTTCTTACTCCTCTACGTAAATGCATGAATACAGATTTGATCAGTCTGGGACTGCCCCACAAAAAGTTTTTTTGCAGGAACGGTCGATCAACCTCTCAAAGTAGCGAAAGACAGGGAAACTGGCAAGGAATATCTTCTTTGTGATTATAGCCGAGATGGCGATAGCTATAGGTATTTTTGATTGGTTTTCACAGCTTTTTATCTGCACTGCCCTAATATCTGCGAGAATGTTTTCTTTATAACAGGTCACCGTGGACGAATACATATGACCCACCTGCTGAGGATGCGCAATTACCCTCGGAAAAGCTGCGCAAACTCGAAATCGAAGCGAACGCAGCGTTTGAGAGCTATAGGGATATGTACGTAGTTTGAAACTGGTACCTGTATAGCTACTTCGTACCTTTCCAGGTATTTCGAAGGTGGTATCTCATCTGTTTACTTTTGGGACCTGGACCATGGTTTCGCTGGCGTAGTACTCATTAAAAAGGTTCACTTTTGCATGTTCTTGTCAGTTTTGCTCTTCTGAGCTCTTTCTTTGCTTCTTACAACGTAGCTGAACCTTGTTTCAATTATGGAAATTCTTTTCTATTCCTAGGCTTGAGAGTTTCATGTCGACACTTTATTGTGATGTTCCAGACCGGCGATGGTTCGAAGGCTATACAAGGTTGCTGGGATTCTATCCATGTCATCGAGATCAACGAGAGAGTGAGATTTGCGTTTGCTAACATAAGTGTGATTGTCGAATCGTCAGCATTCAGTCTTCCCGTCAAGTGCATTACAAACTGACGAGCACCATAATGCTGTGGCTTCAAACGAATAAGCCGGGAAGTGGAATGATGAACCTTGGTGGCTCGCTAACGAGACAAGTGAGATCGGGCTTCGAATTATCATTAACCAGTGCGTCACCTCTGCTTCGCAGAGGCTCGCACTGGCTCTTCTATCTATATGCCATACTCATTCCCTCATAACATGACATTGAAACATACCGCACAGTGCCCGCCTTCACAAATGATTCGTAAACAACTACTCATTCCTTAAGCTTTTTCGTGTGAGATCGGTATTTTGCTTGGGTGAAACTTTGGAATATGAAGAAGAAATGCAGAATTAGAACACTTCTAAGTTTTTTCATGGCTTGGTAGTCGCCATAAGGAAAATATACAATGCGAGCTACATCCATGTGCAAAAATCTTCTCAAATGCTCAGGTAAAAACCTGGCAAACTGACCATTTACGCAAATAATTCGTTTTGGCGCCTTTTTCGTGGAGCAGTAGACTTTCATAACTTTTTTTGGGCTAAAGATTATGGCTTGCACATTCACTTGCCAAACATAATCACGACTTTGCAATAAGTGGTAATACGGATCCAATATTGCGCGCCAAACGTTAAGCGGATCCGTTTGGCATGCGATTTTTGAGGGACCTACTCAATGGATCTGCTCGTGCTTTGGCATGGTGAATCTGGATGGTGTCAGTGCGTGTTGTGCAAAAAATTGCGGCTTGAAACCTTGCCTGCGACTCGTTCTGTGAATTTCGTTACAGACAGACAGACACACAGACACACACACACACAAAAACACGTAAACACCCTTAGCTCGTTATTATAAGTCATGATCATAAATGCGTACGTTTAGGTTGAACAAGATTCACCAGTGAATGACCAAAATCCTCATCTAGTCAATATAGGGAGAATGATTGAGGTTGGTCTCAGTTCGTTTCTTGAAGCTTACTTTATTTCTTTCCAATAAGTCATCATAATCTGAACACTCAGGACCAAGAATCGAAAATGCGTTCGACCATCAATGAGATCTATTTTGGGAAAACGAAAAAGGTGTATTCTAACTCAATGAAGTTTTTTTTTTTGTTACGACTACATGATTCGTCTAGGTCATCGGAGATCTTCGTTCTGTTGAGACTCCGGCCGAGAAAGAGAAGCAGGAAGAGATTGTTCGAGAAATTCGTACGGCTGTGGCTGGGCGCAATAACGCCGCATAGTTCTTGATGTCATCGAAATATTATTCGCTTTCTATTGTTGATATGTGATTTTTCTTTCTGACTCTGCGTTTGAGTGACGCGAATACAGAACATTACTGCTGCATGAGAACCTCTTCTAATTTCAGTAATGCCCCTATCGAATCTTTTAGATCTCTTCGCTCGACGCTATCGAAGCAATGCACCAGATGAATATGTTGCAATGCATATGATTGTTTGCGCTTCCAATGAACTGTCTTACATATGTTTTCCTTTTTAACTTTGCGAATTGTTGTGCGCTTCAGAAGGCATCCTTTTTGTCACAGTTTGGTAGTTTATAGCCTTTCAAGTGACCTTGTAACCTGCTTGAGATCATACTTATATATTATAATAAATTATCGCTATCTTCTTGCGTGTAACATATAGAGCGCTGCACTCTATTACTTTGCCATATAGTGAAGATTGCAGAAATTCTAAATCAGATCGGATTTGTCGATTTTATTACAAGGACATATAATACAGTACACCCGTCATAGTCTTCCAGTTCAGCTGCTGCAAGGATTTTATCTGTCATCGATAGCGCCTATTCGTGCATGAAGCGAATGCAAGGCATGGCGAAATCGTTCATATGCTGCGCCGTCTACAGCGTCCAAGTCGACATTGCTCGAGACTGCGCGACTGAAATCGGAACAGTTGATGTTTTTCAACTCCTTAACTTAGGGCCGCATGCACTAACATCCCTGCGGCGAGGGGAGCGGCGTCCGCACGCGGTCCCTTCATAACGGGGGACGCCGCTCCCCTCGCCGCAAAAATGTTAGTGCATACGGGCCTTAGAAATTAAACCTTTTGAGAATTGGAGAGTGACTTGCTGAGAGAATACAAGGACGGAGGCACCTCTGGGTTGAAGCAGAATTTTGAGCGTTTTTAAAAGGTGGAGGGCATACAGGAAGTGCAGTTTTTTACGTCACCGAACAGCTAAGCCTTCCATCATTAATGACATACGCCAGTAGCCGCATATCGCAAAACAGAGATCCGAATCAAGTTTATGCTTTTTTTTGGTTCCACCTCCTCGAATATTTTTGGCACATGACCTTATCATATCCTGTGGTTGCTCCAAGTGACTGAAAGATAACTTTGCAAGTGGCACTCTCTTTTGCGTTAAAATTTATAGTAGTTTCAAAAAATGTATTATCGTGAACACCATCAAGAATATAACGATTGTTTTGAACGGGCGAGACTCTATATTGCGGGTATTCTAACAAGCGCGTAGTGAGTTCAGAGGAGACAGTTGCAAGTGCTGATCTTGAATACCAGAATCAACTTTAAATAACTGAAATAATTTTTAAAATTTGAAAATTTAATCTAGCTTTAAAAAAGAGTTTCCTCGGAGACGTTGCTGAGGCCACCCCTGTTTTTAGAATTTCGGGTCTTGGGAACGCAAAAATTCTAAGAAGCATAACAAATTTTTTCTGGAGTGCGCACTTTATGTAGCGCTCCTAATCCCCCCTGCCTCCCCCCCCCCCTCCTCCCCCCCCCCCCTCCCTCACGGAACGGAAATCCTGGTTACGACTGTAGGATTACTGTAGCAAGTATGAAGAGAGTTATAGGTTCTCGGACATACAGTAGTAAAACCTTACATTAGGCTAATCTTAGTCGCTTTTGCGAACTTTGCACTTCGCCGCAATGCCTCGTTCAAAACACTCAGGTATAGATACCATTAAGATTTTCGATTTTTCTTAAAATATGGATTTTTAGAAGGGTTTTGAGATATCTGCAAAGCTTACTCGTGAAATCACCGTACTGGAAAACCCATTCACAGTTAGGTTTTTTGTTTTTTTGAAGGTAGCTGCAATGGCGCTATGTGCTGGAAGTTCGTACCGTAACCCTGCAGTGAGCTTAAGAGTTTTTAGTCAGTTGCTTTTTTGCTGTCTAACTCAGAAAACTTTGAAAAATGGTCCAAATTTTGGCGAAAGGCGAGAGAGACGACTGCAGAGATGTGCACATATTTGGGACAAACGGTATAACGTACTCAAAAGTTGACGCGTACGATAACGTTTGAATTAGTGCGGAATTGGATTTCCTTCCTACAAAAGGTTGAACCAGAAGAACACACCTATCTGATTCATAGTCGTATTCCTTTGTCTGCTTTGGAGACTTTTTCAGACTTGGAAACGAATGGCAAGTCGAGGCAATAAGCAGGATCAGGAGTAGGAGTGTCCACCTGCTTGACATTTGATTCCAAGCAGTGGGAGACGGCACTGCCCGATCTTAAATCTTGGCTGTAGTGGAGACGGGGACGAAGTCTGCGGTGGGCGGTGTAAGCGATGCGTACATGAAAAAGTGGTGAACAGACAGTTCGGGGAAAACAGATGTCAGAGTTATAATGTCATTTTGCTGATTCCCGTGACGGGTCGAAGCGAACTTCACTGCATAGTAATCGCTCGTTTGTAAACAAGTTGCATAACGGCGCAATCATACGTAATCGCAATTTCGCGCATGATTGAACAAGGTCGCATTCGTACTGTTTCTTCTTCCTTTCGAGGTACAAATTGAAAAAGAGCTTACAATTGGCAGAAAATGAGTAGCACACAGGGGTTGCCTTCTTCATATAAGGTTGTCCCGAAAGTTTTGTCCGTTTTTTCAAACCATTATAAAACCACCACAATAAACACCTAAATAAGTTACAACATGCATTCGATGCAGCTTCTCCTCTTCTTTCTTATGGATACATTTTCGAACAAAAATCTTGTATGTTTTTCTTGATGATTGCTGAAATTTTCCACCCGTCAAGTTTATCTGATCAAAGTTAGGCTAATTTTTGAAATTCTGATTCCATGAGTTTCGGAAAGGTTTGGGAATGGATCAAATAGAGAAAATCTCGGACTCAAGAGAATGTTTTTAGATTCTCCCAATCTGCTGTTTTTAGCTTCAAAAAATTATTTCTTCGGAGGCTTCAATTTTTAGCAAAGTCATGAAACACGCAACTGCAGCAAATACCGAAAGCTTTCAAAGTTTGTGCGAATTGAAACATGATTTCTTATTAGACATTACCTATGCAACATAACCAAGTTTAATTTGCTTTGAAAAAGCAGCTTTTTGCAGTTTTCGGTTTTTTACATGGTAAACGTAATCAAAAAGCTCCAGTTTTTATCAAATAGATAATATAACGGACTTGGTAAGCGTGGCCCATGTAATCTGAAATAGGTGCAAAGTAGCCAAAGGTTTACTCTACATAACAATTACCAGCGCTCTTTGAAAACGTCAGGATAAAAATTTTTAGAATTCAGGAAAGATTTGGCGTTACTGCTGAGCTGCTCAAAAAGCCCTGGCGATAACATTGCAAATCAGGGTAGATCAGAGAGTTGTAAGAAAGAGGATAAAAATCTGAATCAAATGTTACCTAAGTAGTCCATGGATTGGTGTTTTGTGAGATTTAGCGGGCGATGAAAAAAAAATGGACGAAACTTTCGGGACAACCTAATACAGGGTGTCCCAAAAAATGAATCGAACGTTTGATCGTTAACATCTCTCTTCCCAAGAAGTCTTTTGCCTTGCCTCAGGTACCAATCTGTAGAGCTGGCTTCAACTAGATTTGAATTATAAAACGAATCACCCATCTCTCTTCATTACTGTAGGATTACGGTAGAAACTTCAAAGAGGGTTTTGAGCCATGAAAGGCCATATTTTGCCTCAAAAAAGAAACAAAACAGCCTGAAAACTTTTACACTAGGCTAATTAGAGTTGCTGATTACAACTGTAAAGTTCCCAACTTGCTATGATGCTTCATTGAAGAGTTATGCCAGGTAAGAGGAAGCGGCCATTTTTTCAATGTTCTTAAAAAGTGCGATTAAACCGTTTAGAAAGCTTCGTAATCTTGTGAATAGTTTAGCATTGAACTCAGCGTCCATAAAAACCCTATTACACATGTTTTCACATTATTTTGAAAATTTTTGAAAAGGCAGCTTTTTCCATATTGACACCATATGTTTCAAGTTTCTACCGTAATCCTACAGTAATGAAGAGAGATGGGTGATTCGTTTTATAATGCAAATCTAAGTTGAAGCCAGCTCTACGAAACGGTACCTGAAGCAAGGCAAAAGACTTCTTGGGAAGAGAGATATTAACGATCAAACGTTCGATACATTTTTTTGGGACACCCTGTATATTACAGGTTGCTTGTAGTTTTTACTGCACTTTTCTATTCGATACAAAACTATATTGTTTGGCGCATTAGACTGTTCTTTAGATGTGAGAGAGGCTTTGCCATGATGTTTACAAAAAAAACATTTGAGTTAACGCACTCAACACTTTACGGATTCTTCACCGCAAGTTATATCTATTACCCAGTCGCGTGCCCAGATTTCCGTTCGGTAGGGGGGGGGGGTGGGGGAATGGGGGGGGGGGGGAAGCGACAAAAATTTTTTTCTGATGAAGGTGTGGCCTAAGCCATCCCCCGAAACCTTTTTTATAAAGCTAAAATGAATTTTTAAATATTTAAAAATAATTTCAATTGGAAGTAAAAACAAGTTACTTGCACATTTTTGTAGCTCATTCAGGTAACCTTAATAAATTTTGCGACCATTCTCGAGGTGGGGGCTCTTGGTACGCCACTGCTATCACCTAATAGGGAACTGATTAGTACCACCAAGTCTGACTCACCAAAAATGGTTTCAGAGCCCTTTCTAAACTCCAGCTGGGTTTTTTATAAGCGATCGTGGTAAGGTACTAAAAGTGCGATTCCGGGGTAATTTTTTCTTCTCTAGTGAATACTGAAGGTGACTGGGCTATAGCGAAAAGTGTCTATTTGGTCACAATTAACGCAAAATAAAAGCCAGATTTCGCAAATTCTCACAGATTTTTACTTACGGTAGGTGACGATGTTTGATACTGCTTACTGACTTATCCACCTTTAGCAAAGGTTGTATTCAATCGTGAAATCTGGCTGCCTATCGTGCACACAGTACCGTACCCAAACAGGGAGATATCTTCTTGTATCAGAAGATGCGTCTCGTGGAGTTGGATTGAATGGTGCCTTTGGATTCAGATCTCGTCCACACTGAAGCAGGATATGGCAATGCAACGCTAATGTCACCTGATTAAGGTGAATGTCGCGTTCTTCTGCAGAAATGAGCCGTATTGCCCATACCTTGTTTTTGACTATCGAAATTTCTTCCTATCGCAATCACAAAAATATTCTGCATGAATGCGTCGCAGGTTTAAGACAATTTTGTTTCGTATTAAACCGACAAATTTTGATCCTTGCTCTGCTCAGACGCGCTGTCTTATCACAGAGATCCGATTCGATGCAATAGGCTGGCCAAAGCTAGCGACCAACTGCGTCATACAGTGAAAGTCGTTGCTTCCGCGTTCCCTTCCACTCACGTGAAAATTTTCTGTCCCATAGAGATCAGCATCAACACTTTGTCATATGCGGTGATGTTCGTATAACACTAAGCTGAGATCCACCACTATTTTTGCTTGCTACTTTTATACAGAGAAAATCCGAAGACCTTATGTGTTTCGATTCTTAGAGGATCTACATAGCTCTCCGATTAACAGATTTATAGTGGATAATTTCACATCTGTTTGATGCGGCTAACGAAGAAAGCTGCTATTATTTAACGCTCGTTGTTTGCTCAGTTGTCTTATCAGATGTTTACCCACTGCTAGAAGGGCGAGCCTTGGAAATACTTCTGAAAAAAAAGAAATTGAATAATAGCTGATTATTCCTGCAAAAGAACCAAAATCATGGGATCTGATGTGATTTCACATCGCTTACAAGGGTTTGAATGAGGATAAGTTGAATTAATTTAGAAGGTGTTCAAACATTGATTAACGTTGATTATGGAGCGACGCCCTTGTGTTATGGGTTTTGCAAACGAGTTTGCTGGGTCTATGATCATGATCACTGCAGCTGAACAGAACATGATCACGTTCTTTGTTCTGAGAGGTCCGAAAATTATCGAGCAATCTCATAGTCAGAATCCATGTTCGACTATCCATGAATCTTGGCATAGTTTGAATCTTCTGATTAGTTTCTTTAGCAGTGTCCAAGATTGGTACAGATATTTAATCCACAGTATACAGACTGACGTTTCGGCAAACTCGCCTTCTTCAGAGTCTGAAAAGTCGAAAACACATAAGTGAACTATCCGATCAAACACCTTATCGACTACAGAAAAGAGCCCAACCCTCTAGATAAGCAACAGTATCAACCAAAACGCAAGATTAAGCCAGTGCTCACCTTAAAAGATGATAGATTTGGTGGGTGCAGTTCACTTATGTGTTTTCGACTTTTCAGACTCTGAAGAAGGCGAGTTTGCCGAAACGTCAGTCTGTATACTGTGGATTAAATATCTGTACCAATCTTGGACACTGCTAAAGAAACTAATCAGAATCTCATAGTCGATTATACGTTTATGACTGGATTAAGGTAAAGCCTTGTAATTTGTAAAAATACCGAGAATCAAGTACTGATGAGACACTGCTTTTAAAGGCAGTGTCCGGGCAAAAACTCGATTTTTAGATTTTGTGCTTACTTGGACCTATTCGCTACGCTGAATCCGAAAATGCACATTGTAGAGCGCGAAATTTGCGAAAAAGGGCTCTAACACACGAGGGAAATCAGCAGGTGGGCGGGGCTTTCCCCAGTGCGATTTCACGCTCCCAGCTCCCGGAGCGATTTTCTCGATCCCGCTAGCCATCCTAACATCGCTACGGGTCAAGTGCGAGCGCTTGATTTGAATTCGGAACCGAGAAGATTGCTCCGAAAGCTGGGAGCGTGAATTCGCAGTGGGGAGGACTCCGCCCACCTCTGATTTCCCTCCCGTGTTAGAGCCCTTTTTCGCCGTTTTCGCGCTTTCTAGTGTTGATTATATTCAGCATGGCGTATAGGCCCGGGTAAGCACAAAACCTCAAAATCGATTTCTTGCCCGACACTGCCTTCAAAGGCACCGTCCACCCAGATTCTCGACTTCCATGTTTCAATCGTTCCGGGGTCTTCTAATGTTCCCGATTCTGAATATGATGTCGCGAATCCGCGAAAACCCCTTAGGAGTGGACTGTGACTGCTTCAGAAGATGCGCTGCGCCTAACAAACATGAGTTGAATAGGAGCCTTGGATTCAGAATCTGTCCACTCTGATGAGATGTGGCAATGCATCGCTCATATCAGCTGCAGGTGAGCATGGCGTCTCCTTTGGTCAAATTATAGCGTTTCATGGTCGTAGCTACACGCTGAAGAGTGTTCTATCATTTTCCAGAAGCGATCATGACAAC